ATAAACTCAATTCATTGAATACTTAGGTTTAATTTTATTTTTCAGATCCAGTATTTTCATTTATATAATTTGTCTACATTTTTAAAAAAGTTTCCCCTTTTCTACTAAATTTCTCAACTTTATCTTCTTAAAGGTAGTGTTTAAGCATCTGAAATCATTTTTCTTTGTTAGGTATTACAAGCTGAGCAGATTTCAACATGGGCCTGCCCATTAGAACAATTTGCATAGATATAAAACACCCCAAAACTCACACCAATTAAATAAAACTCTCTGGGGTTCCAGCAATCTCTGCATCTAAATACTGGTATTTTAAGCATCTTTAGGTGAGTCTAATTGACAGCCAAGCTTGAGAACCATCACCTTGATCCATGTTCAGGACTTAATATGTATAACTGATGATGGACCAGACCTTGTAGGATGCTCATGATTTTCTTTCAAGTCATTCCTATATTTAGGGCACAGAGCTTTGCAAATGTAACTCAGCACATGGGAAGTTCACCATTGGCAGGATCAACTCTTGGACTGATTTGTCCATCCCGAGTCTCTCAGCTACATTGTGAACAACCTCCAAAAGGCAAGGCAGTTTCAGATGCTAGGCTTAAAGGTTTGTACTGTATATCTTCTCCAGAAAATCGAATGCCTTCAGGAAGGTGCTTTTCTTTTGTGGATGACTTTTTCTTAATTATTCTTAGCAGCAGTGAAAAGGAGAAGGCTCAGCGGTTGCATCATAGACCCCCACACATGGCAGGGTGACCTGGAGGCCAGCACAGCTGTGCAGGAAGTGACCCTTCTTTCAGGGCCCCAGCATTCCTGCCACACTCACTCCCCAGCCATGCTGTAAATGCTCAGTATTTCCAAACCTAGCAGTTGGGATGTTTTGGATGTTTACATTGAGTTTAGGCAATCAGATTAAAAGACATTCTCTAAATGCCACAGGGCAAAACTAGTTGCAAAGGTGACATACAGGCAACAGTTGCTTTTTGCCACACCTATGTGCGGGCTTGCAGTCTAAAGTGGGGCAGGTGTCAGGAAAGAGAATGTTGATCAGGTCGGACTCAGCATTTCTGCTTCCAACAATGCTGTGTGGGAGTTTTTGTGGGTCCAGCCTATTCCTTCATCTCCTGAAGCTTTGGCCTACTGACAGCTTTGTACCATCCTCCTCTGTCTCTCCCTCCCATGTAGAAGCCCTTTATCGATGTCTTCCACGTATCTTCTAGCTGTTTGCTTCTAAGACCAGTGTATAATCAAGTTACATAATTTGACACAGTCATTTAGATTCCCCTTAATTGAGATGGCCATTAAGTCAAAGTAGGAAAAAGTGTAAGTGTAGGCTGCATGTAAAATGATGTGGTTTAAAGACAAAGGGTAAATGGCTTTTTCAGTTACAGTGATTTTTTTTTTCACACCTTAAATAAACTATCAGACTTCAAACTGTGGAATAAAGGCAGGACTGAATTCAACACAATCATTTTCCCAACCCTTAAACCTTATCTCCACTTCCGTCTAGATGTACCTACCTGGCTGTGCCTGCAGTCAAAGGATAAATGTGTCCTCTTCTGCACCTCCTATTCTGGGTCGGCGTACGTTCTGCATCTAACAGGTGCCATAGACTCTGAGCATCAAACCAAGGGAAGATCTGGAATACGGTCAAGAAAACTGTCTTTGTAGCCAAAGTCCAATACCCAATCTAATGTTGCTTTTTCTTTTCAACTGAGAATAATTTTAACTAAGATCACACTTAGCTGATCAGTGTCTTAAAAATACCTTAGAACACACTAGGGGGAACAAGTGCCTGGAACTACCAATGCACAAAGAATATACTGCTGTGCTGGGTGTTAGTATTAGGCATTTTCTAAATTTTGTCTCATTAAATCCACCTTTTTCTCCAACTTTTAGTCAACAATGCCATTTGTCATCAAGCAATTTGTAAAATAGGAAAAGCTATCCTCCTAAATTCTCATCATCTCAGCTCCAGCAGTTGTGTAGCACTTCGATATCCTGGTTTTGCTCCCTAAAAGATTAGCACTGGGTGAGGGTTCCACATTTACAAGAGAAACACCAGGGAAACCGCCTCCTTCCCACTGCAGTGGTCCTATCATTAATAGTAGCATGCCTTACCATCCTATATGCATCTTTGTAAAAGCCATATTTTCAGTAAAAAGTTTTATCTTCATTCTATAATTTTTAACCAAGGCTTCAATTTATTCATTCTATTCACTTAAAAATGTGGGAAGATTTAAAGTGTAAGAGAGTCTCATTTGATTTTTTTAACCTTTCATTTCAGAATAGTTTTAAATTTACAAAACAGATTGCACAACAGTACAAAGTGTTCTCAAAAGAGCACTCATCCAGCTTCCCCTATTTTTAAAATCAAAACTCTAGCCCTTCCTGTCTCTATCAATCAGCATTCTGTGTCCGGATTGTGTGTTTTTGTTTTAGCTCCCACAGGAAGCAGAAGCTGCAGGATTTGCCTTTCTGGGCTTTAACTTGGTCTTGTTTAACTTGGTCACTTCCAGTTTTATCTATTTTGCTGCAAATGACTGGCCTTCATTCCTTTTCACATCTGACTAGTACTTCATTGTGTATAAAATGCTTTGATCAACTTTGTCATCAAAAGATAACACAAAAGATGTTTTAACACTGTGATCCTGAGAAATAAGTACTAAGTTAAAAATAAATATTAGACGAAGGCAGGATTATGGTGTAGTGGCTTAATCTGTTGCCTGCAACGCTGGTACTGCATATGAGCATCATTTCCAGTCTCAGCTGCTCCACTTTGAACCCAGCTTCCTGCTAATGGCCTGGGAAAAGCAGCAGAAGATGGCCCAAGTGCTTGGGCCCCTACCAGCCACGTGGGAGACCTGAACAAAGCTGCTTCTGGCTCCTGACTTGAGGTGGCCCAGTTCCAGTTATTGTGGTCATCTAAGGAGTGAACCAGCAGATGGAGGAGCTCCCCTATCAAATAAATAAATCAAAGGTAAACAGAGACACCTTGAGACTGGCATATGGCTACTGCGATGCCATATGGTTACTGATTCATGTCCTCGATTCACCTCCTTGACAACAGACAACCCAGGCCTTTGGGCTCCGGCAGCCACATAGGAGACCTGGATGGAGTTCAGGATCTGCCTTTGGCCCAGCTAGCCTTAGCCAGTGCAATCACTTAGGAAGTCAACCAGTAGATGGAAGATTCCTCTCTGCCTCTCTAATTGCATTGCAAACAAATAAATGTCATTTTAAAATAAACAATATATATAATCTTTGTTGCAGATGATAAAGGATCAATACAATTTTCCATTATAAGTGTAATTTACATTAGGATAAGTTCTGTGTAGAATTAAAATAAATTTTCAAGAAAAATTAGTGACATAAACTATACAACTGATTGTAAACAAAACATGTTTTAGGAATTTGGCAGATATCAAAGAGCTACATCAACTATAACTATTTAAGTAAAAGATATGTCATTAAAGGCCCCAAATTTACAATATGACCAAAATTATATCCTTTAGAATTTCTTAAATCTGCAATGACAAATTCGATGTCACCTTACTAGTGTACAAAGGATGCAGAATTTCTAAAGCATTTTTACGGGCTACACAAGCAAAAAGTAGCACCTCGGAGAACACGTTATAACACAGTCCAATAGACTTTCCACCACTCATGTTTTAGAAAACAGTTCATTCCCTACCCGCTCACGGTGTGAGTGTATGGAAAACGGAATTAAGCAGAAGTGTCTTTTGGTGCTCCATGCACCATTTTTACACAGCACCAAATTCTCCTTTTCCTGGCCAGTAACATGTTTCCGTAAGATCTGTGCAATGAGGGACTGTCACCGAGTCAACGGAAAGCACTCCACAGCCCCTGACTTGGAGAGCACATGAGGAACCTTGTGAATGCTGTGGCTGGGGCTCCCAGGCTCGCTTAAGCAGTGGCCCGCTGAGAGCACCAGAGGCTCCAACAGCGTCAAGAAGCGCTACCAGTTACATTTCATCTCCCAAAAAAAAACCAAAACAAACAAACAAACAAAAAAACAAAAAAACCAAAACAGGAAACGTTAGAAGTCTCATTCTGCTTGTTTCCTTTGACACCTCTACGTTAAATCTGTTTAGTCGGATGTTGGTAATAACTATATTAGTAGTCACTGCTGGTCTTGTCATGGATAAAAATCAGGTTCTTAGCAGCTATGACAGATAGATCAAAGGCCTCACTTACGCTGGTCACTGCTGGGAAGCTGTGGTAGTCGGAGTGCTAGCTCCCTCGCTGGAGTGTCACCTTTTGACACTGGGCTCTCAAGCCCAATCTACTCTGCGTTCTACAGGTCTTATTCTAAGCATTCCAGACCGCTGCTGTGAGAAGCAGCCCTCCCCAGACCTGCTACCACCGCCCGGCGGCCAGGGCAGCTGGTGCCGGCACGGGGGCGGCCGGGGCTGCGGCCGTGAACCCGCCGACCCCCGGCCGGGGACGGAGCGGGAGAGCCGCCGCGCGCGCTCGGCAGAGGCCTGAGCTGGACCGGCTTCTCCAGATGTGCCACGCAGAGCAGCGAGCACCGGCGGGGCCGTCTGGGCTTCCCTCACCGACTACCACGCCGACCCCGCGGCCCGCCCGCGCCCCCGAGTCCACGGCCTGAGGGGAAGAGGCGAGCGTGAGGTGAGGTCCCAACACCACCTCAAGTTCAGAGTCTCCGCTGGCCAGTGCCCGCTCCTTCCCTCTCATCTCTCACTGGTTGTTCGGGTTCGGGGCCCCGAGAGCCTAGACTGGGGCCTGGGGATGGGGGGGCGGCTCTCGGCCGGCAACTTCTACCACCGACCTGGTGGTTCGAGGCCCGAACCCTCCCTTTAGGTTCACAGACTCCGCCCCCTTCTCTGCAGCCCGGGCAACACTTCGGGGCAGCTCAACAGAGCGGCGCCGTTGGTTGACGTTGCAGGGCTGGATTGGTCGCCCCGGCCCTGGCGCTCCGGAATTGGCTGGGAGCCGTTCGGCCCCGCCCCTCGCCTCCGCCTCCGGCCTGGGGCCACCGTGTGTCCTCGCGCCGCCCGTCCGCGCGCAGCCTGGCAGTTTGCCTCTTCCTCGTCCTCCAGCCTGCGTCCATGGCCACCTCCGCCACCGAGGAGCCCTTCCCTTTCCACGGTCTCCTACCCAAGAAAGAGACCGGAGCCGCGTCCTTCCTCTGCCGCTACCCGGAGTATGATGGGCGCGGGGTGCTCATCGCGGTGCTGGACACGGGGGTCGATCCCGGGGCTCCGGGCATGCAGGTGAGGAAGCCCTAAGAGGGCCGGGGTCGCCGAGAGGAGGGTTGAGCCGAGGAGGGCGGGCGGCCTCGGAGCTCGCCGGGCCGGAGCCCGACGCTGTGGCCGTGCCCGGGCCGGGGGAGGCAGCGGCGGGACCCGGCGGCGCCCGGGTGTCCGGCGGCCGGCCTGGGCCGAGCAGCTGGCCCAGACAAAAGCAGCGATCCTGGTGCGGCGGGCGTGGGGAGCCGGGGAGACGCGGGCGCCCGATCTCTGGGCGAGAATCGGACGCTTTCAGCACGGCGTGGGGGTGCGGGCGGAGAGGGCTGAGACGGGGCGAGGGGCGCCTGGCGCACCGCCGGGTGACGGTTTCGAGAAGATAACTCGGGCGGCTTCCGGAAGGGCTTGTGCCGGTCGTCGCGTGTGCTCTATTTTTACTCATCTTGTGCAGCGTGTTTGTTGTAGGGTGCTTGTTTTACGTGGAAACCCAATTTAGTTGGTTTCGGGCAAACTTTTAGCCCTTTAGAATGTGTGTGTGTGGGGAGGGGAGAGAGAAATCAGTTCTCTCTATTGGAAGCCTTAACTTTGGTAAACTTAACCTTCTACGGAAATCCACCAGTAAACAATTGATGTGAGTGTTGCGGACTCACCCTCCTCCGCCTGTGTCTGCCGGCCTCCTCTGTATGTGTCATCTGAGGTGCACCTGGGCCAGGAGGGCAGCCCTCCTGGAGCCCGGGCGCGGCTGCGGGTGTTGGCTCCTGGAGGAGCCCGCAGCTCCCGGGGTTCCGCTAACTAATAATTAACTCTTGTTGTCCTCCTAATGGCTCTTGAATCTTCTAGGCGTGACGGCCATCACCTCCTTGAAGGTTTATTACAGGGTCATGAGGCTTTCCATTCTGCCCTGACCTGGGTTTACTTTTTATAGGCCCAGTGGGAGAACAGCTCCTGTGTGTGGCACTGGCTGTCCTGCCTGGCGAAGGGAGAAGTATGTACAGCTCAGTGGGGATCACATTATTCGGAAGCTTTCTGTCAAATGACAATAATTTCATGCTGAACTGTTGCAAAAATTGATTCTGAGATTAATTTCATGTGATAATCAGTTCATATTACTTTCTTTCTTAAAATTGAGTAACTATTTTTTTTTAAGGTTATTTACTTGAGGGCCTTATGCAATAGCCTAGTGGCTAGAGTCCTCGCCTTGCATGCGCCAGGATCCCATAGGACACCGGTTCTAATCCCCGCTGGCCCCACTTCCCATTCAGTTCGTGACCTGGGAAAGCAGCTGAGAACTGCTTAAAGCCTTGGGACCCTGCACCCACATGAGAGACCCAGAAGAGGCTCCTGCTCCTGGCTTCATATCTGCTCAGCTCCAGCCCTTGTGGCCGCTTGGGGAGTGAATCATCGAGTGGAAGGTCTTCCTTTCTGTCTCTCTTCTCTGTATATCTGACTTTCCAATTAAAAATTTAAAAAAAAAATTTTTTTTTTTTTAAGTTATTTACTTGGAAGAGTAGGGAAGGAGGGAGAGAGGGAGTAAGTGCTTGCCTGCTGGCCGCTCCCCGCTCCCCGCGCCCAGGGCCACGCCTCTGGCCAGGTGTTGATGAAATGCTGAGCTGGAAACCGACTCAGCGCCCTGGACTATGAACCTGGGAACCTAAGCTGTTTCTCCTTTTCCTTCCTTCCTTCCTTCCTTCCTTTGTGTGTGTGTGTGTGTGTGTGGTGGTGGTGGTGGTTTTTGTGGTTGTTGAGAGGCAGAGAGAGCACGCTATCACTCAGTGCCTGGGTGGCAAGCTGGGGGTGGCACCCAAACCCCAGCGCTGCATCGGGGCTTCAGGTCCCTAGCCACTAGGCTCAGTGTCCATCCTGATGGACTGACTTGGAGGGTTCTCATCTTTTGACAAATTTATATTGTAGGTGTGTAAGTATATTATTTACAACTCTGCAAACATTGCAACTAAATTGGCACAGGTGTAGTTACTGTGTGTTGAATATTATTGCCCAATTTAGGCTTACTTTGGTTTCCTCTAAAGAGGACAGTGGGGCAAGCTGAGTTATTGTAAGGATGTGGGTACAAATTAAAAAGGAAAGAAAAAATAAAGGGACAAGGAGGCGGAGCAGGCCATTTGGGAAGGTAAACAGAAACTGAGGAAAGTCCTAAAGGGAAAACCTTAAAAAGTCTCATTCATTGGCAGTGTCCTTGGGCCGGGTTGTGGGAAAGCTGTCTGGACATGTCCACAGTGGGTCAAGGGCCAGGTGAGGAAATAGTACACAAATGGTTTAGTATTTCCCATCAGACGTTGGGGCTGCTGGAGATGCTGTAGTCCTGCAGAGTACACTTGCTGTGGGGCCTGTTGGGGTGATGTGTGGTGCCGGCCCTTGGGGCCAGGGGCGGGGTGGGCAGTCAGGTTCCACTCACAAGGTAGAACTTGGACTAGACCTGAGTGTATAAAGGTACGTGTGTGTTCTTCCAGCAGTCAGCAAGTCTTCCTGCCACCAGCCAGTCTTTGATCCATCTTCCACGCTGCCAAACATTTTCTTTCAAAACAGACCTTGTGTTAAACCCTTGTTGCAGACAAAGTGATTTTGGAATCCCATTTTCTTTTGTCTGAGGATCCAGAAATGTGAACTTTGTGTGTGTGTGTGTGAGTCCTTCGCCATCCACCTCCAGCTTCTGTTCTCACCATGTGTTTGCGCTTCACTGTTTCTTTTTTATCATTCTCCTCTTTTTCACTCACCCAGATGTTCAGGTCCTTTGTCAATGCGTGCGTTTATTTGTGATGTTTAATTTGTCAGCACACCAGCTATAATCATCTTAAACTTCTGCTTAATCCTCTTAAGACCCAGCTGAGTCTTGAGCTTGTTACTTTTTAGGAAATGTACTGATTGAGTTTGGCCCCAGCATGTATTCATGTCTCTACTGTTGTGTTCAGAGCCTGTGGTTTCAGAGGTTACCAAGATCTCATCCCTGCCAACAGTCACTTGTCGTTTAGGTTTTCTTTTCTTTTTTTTTTTTTTTTACTCTTAGTCTCAGAGCATTTTGTTTATGTCCTCCGATGGAACTTAAATTATTTCATGTTAGTATTTCTGTTTGTATGCCTTTTTCCTGAGTAAGTTAAAATTCCTTGAATGCATATATGAAAATCAAACCTTAAATCTATGCAAAATATGCTTATAATCCTAAATAATTTTGTTGAATAGTAAAAATGTACATCAAGGTAGCTAAAATGTGCATAGAAATATTTATGATGAAAATACTGCATGTATTCCAGCGTTTTTACACCAACCTAACAACTGCAAACTACAGTTTCCTTATGGATAAAAAGAATAGTTGGCGAAGATTACAAGTTGTCCTTTATTCATTAAAGCCAATAAAATAATAAGTTATCACATACATGCTACTTTTACCTTTTCCTACCTCCCTTTTCTTTTGTTCTGCCTCCTTCACTGTGTGGGCTTTGTGTCCCCTGCACGTACGCTGTCATAGTTGTTGTTCATTATCCTGAATTATAATTCTGCCCCATTTGTCTTCTCAGCTGTTGATAAGCCGTATGAAAGCAGGGAGTGTCTAATTCATTTATCACTGTGTTTCTAGAACAAACCTAATGAGAATTTGCTTCTGGAACTTTGCTGTACTAAGTGTTGTCAGTGTCTTCCCTGAAATTTCAAGGCTGTGCTTTGACGTTCCCTTCGGTTGGTTTGGAACAGTCCATGACACTACACTGGCCTCTACTCGCTTGTGAGTGGCTCCTTCCCTCAGCAGTTGTGCCTTGAGAAGATTTCTTCGGTTCTTGATACTTGGGGCCCCGTTGGCAGTTTCCATCCACCTGCCAGCATAGACTGGTAGGCATTTCTTAGTCTGAGCATTAGCGCACAGGACTTCCTGTTGGGTTCTACAAATAGTGGCTTGATGCCTATGTTCCCCTCCCCCCCACTCCACTTGAAGCTGAGGGATTCATTACAGTGCTAACATAGATTCCGTTTCCTTCTTCTCACAAAGCCACATTGCAAAATTTTCAGGTTTTTGCCTTTTTCAAAGCCCCACATTTAAAACCTTTCATGCCTTTTTGTCTTTTTGCCTCCAGTGGACGGCCTTTCTCTCATTGGTATAGCAAGACCTCTCTCGATGTGGGCCCAAGGTTGTGGTGTGACAGGTTAACCCCCGGCTAGTGACAGTGATTCCACTTGTGTTCAAGCTTTCTGCTAATGCTCCTGAGAAAGCCATGGGCTCCTGCCACCATGCAGGAGACCAGACGGAGTCCTGACTGTTGTGGCCTTTGCGGAGTGAACCAGTGAAAGGAAGATTCTCTCCCTCTTTTTGTTTCACTTACTCATTCTGCCTTTCAACTCTTAAATAAGCAAATAAATAAATGCATACATACATATAAAAATTGCATATACAAGATGTTTTTGTGTATGTACATGTGAGAAAACGTTCCTGCAAGTAAAGCCTGCAGAAACAGCAGAGAATCCTGTTGGATTCTTTTCCTTTTCATTTCCTGATAATGAAGAATCGAATCAGAGTTGTCTGTCTGTATCTAACTTGGTGTAGTGATCTCTTTAATTCCAAGTCACTGAAACAGTGTCCTCACTGAATGGAAAGATAAAGATGGGTGATTTGTATTTCTTAGTGTCTTTCAAATCATGTCTTTATTTGGAATGCATTTTAAAATAACTTGTTTTCTTACATTGTTAGTACACGTTTAAGCTACTTTTGATTATTGGGTACCATTCCTGTTGTTTCGGTAGATTCTCTTAACATTTTTGTTCATTATGTTCCTGTTTCCCTTTTCAAGATACACAAACCATTTCTCTAAAATAAAAATGTGATTTAAGTCTTATAATTTCATCAATCTGGCATGTTGTCTACAGTGGTTCTTTATTATGATTTTGAGCTTTTCAAAAGTTAAAAATCTTTATTTTTTATAACTTTTTCATTTGTATTAGTGAACAGATTTCACATATTTCACAGTACAGATTTAGCAGTAAAGTGGTCCTTTCTATCCTATCCTCCCTCCTGCCCACATTTCCCTTCCTGCTCTCTTTCCATTTTTGGGGTTTTTTTTTTTTTTAATTTTTAGAATGTCATACTTTTCATTTTACTTCACAATCACAGCTTTCACTCCATTAGCTAAAGATTTCAATACATAGCACATTAAAAATAAACCCTATTTTTCAAATATAGAAACAAAGGCTATAAACAGTAACCAATTTCAAAATGTTCACATAGATTATATTTTGTAATACTCTGTGAATTAGTTACCACAGGTGAAGAAAAACATACCTGTCTTTTGGGGACTGGCTTTTTTTCCACTAAGCATAATGTTTTCCTGTTGCATCCATTTTGTTGCAGGAGACAAGTTTTCTTCTTTTTGATGGCTGTATATATGCCACATTTTATTTATCCAGTCATCCACTGGTGGATATCTAGGTTGTAACTTTGACTATAGCTTTGACTACCAAGGACATAATTGGAGTTGGCGGTAGTGCCTGTTGTTCAGAAGAACAGCCACTGAGTTTTGTTCTAAGATTATTAATTCTTGGACAGGGTGCAACGGGCTAGTGGCTAAATCCTCACCTTGCATCCACAGGGATCCTGTATGGGTGCCGGTTCATGTCCCTGCTGCTCCACTTCCCTTCCAGCTCCCTTCTTGTGGTCTGGGAAAGTGGTAGAGAATGGCCTATAGCCCTGGGACTCTTCACCTACATGAGAGACCCAGCAGAAGCTCCTGGCTCCTGGCTTTGGATTGGCTCAGCTTCAGCCATTGTGGCCAATTGGGGAGTGAACCAGCAGCAGACTGAACATCTTCCTCTCTGTATCTCCTCTGTGTATTTCTGCCTTCCCAATTTAAAAAAATCTTAAAAAAAATATGAATGCTCTGGGTAAAAATAAATCTACTGACTTTGCTATTTTTAACGTTCTTATTTATTTCTTAAGGTATAGAGGTCCTTTTTTGTTTGTTTTCAGACTTTCTGTCTGTTATGCTTGATTCCTCCTGATAACTCAATTCATGAATTGTGAAGGCAATAAATTTCCTTTTCAAATCTAGCCCGGAGTTTATTTTACCTACAAAAGCAGTATGAGCAATAAAATTCTGTTATTCCCTGAAAGAGTTATACTATATCTCAAGGGAAAATTTGTGGTCCAGCATGAAATCTTCCCTTACCAATATTAACCTTAATGCCAAAGTATTAGTCATATCATTTAATAATTAAATATTTGCTGAGTACTGAACATGCAGTGTGAGATATTGGGTATTGTTTGGTGGTATGGATAAAATAAGCCAGTTCCTGGTTTGTGGCACTTGGGTTATAAGCAAAGAAATAGATTTTCAAAGAATCAGCCAGCTAGATAATTACAATTTGAGTTAGGTTCTATGAAGGAAAAAGGTGTATTTTGAAAGGACAACAAAGGAGAAATGTGAAAGAACAGTGAAGTTGAGGGTGGCAGCCACCTAGAAGAGGCAATTAGGGGACTTTCTAAAGGGGTCGTGCTGTGATAGAAAACTGAAGGATCAGAAGAAATCCTGTGAAACAACTGAACAGTCAGGGACTCTAGGCAGAAGGGCCTTCTGCACAGAATTGAACATGTTGCAGAAATGAAATGGAACAGAGGTCATCATGGCTAGACTTGGAAGTCACAGAAGATGGCCAGGCTCAGCTGATGCCAAATCTGTTAGATGCTGAGTGCCTCGAGTCCACTACAGGTGTCATGGAGATGAGTTTCCTAACACAGTTTGTTGAATACTGCTGTGGAGGGAGCCAATAATAGAGTCTGAGGAATTTCTAAGAAGACAACCCCATATTTGGAAGGCAAGAGATGATGATGGTTTGAAGAATTAAGATAGTGCTGGTGAAAATGGGAGAAGGTGAGGGAGGTGAGCCGTAATTGAGAGGAGAAAGTAACAGAAGTTTCCAGTGATTTTAATGTAAAGTGTGCCTTACAGGAAAACATCAGGAGACAACTTTTATGTTTTTGCATGAGCAGTTGGGTGTGTAGTGTTTTCTGAGATAGCAAAGCCTTAAGGGGAAAAAGTAAAAGAAAGATTTGGTGGGCAGAGGGATGGGGGTGGCATATGAAGTGTATTTTGTTTGACATGCTAGTGTGATATCCAGTAGTGAAATGGTACTCAGCATTTTTCCCCTGAAGTTTTATACTTGCCCAGTGAGGCCCTGATAGGCTGAATTACTTTTCAAATCTCCATGTCACATGTCTGCTGTCTTTCCTTAAGCTTTCTTGATAGAAACGGTCACCCTCTGACACTTTAGCACTTCTCTGTCAGTTGACTGCTGCCTCACTGTAAGTACCATGAGAGAGTAAGGGTTTTTATGAGAATTAATTCTATGTCCCTAACACCCGTAGGCAGTGAAAATATTGTTGAGTATGTGAAACTACCTCAAAGAGTCTGACGCTTCTGTGACTGAATGTTCTCACGTGATCTGTCTGACTTTTGGCTTAGAACAATGCAGTTCTCTTTGAAATGAAAGCTGATTTTTGTAGATGTTGCGCGCTCACACACAGGTTTACCGGGCTTTAATAAAAATATCAAATCTATACTTTATACTTTTCATTGTCTTGATTTTTCAGGTTACAACTGATGGAAAACCAAAAATCATTGATATCATCGATACGACAGGAAGTGGCGATGTGAATACTGCTACCGAAGTAGAGCCAAAAGACGGTGAAATCATTGGTCTTTCTGGAAGAGTGCTGAAGGTTGGGTCTTCATGCAGTGTTTGCTTTTTGTCCTTGTACTGTTGTTTCAACGCATCGATTTTTCTTTTTTAGCTTACATTTGTTAATAGGGTGTTAGTTACCAGTTGCTGAATAACAAGTTACCCCAAACCTCATGGTTTCAAAAAGTGGTTGGGGGTCAGTGAAATGGCATATCATATTATTCGGCCTGCTAATGTTGGCATCTCATATGGACACTGGTTCGTGTCCAGGCTGTTGTACTTCTGATCCAGCTCTCTGCGTGTGGTCTGGGAAAGCAGCACAGGATGATCCAAAAACCTTGGGCTCCTGCAGCCATGTAGGACCCAGAAGAAGCTCCTGGCCTCTGGCTTCAGATCAGCTCAGTTCTAGCCATTGCACCAACAGATGAAAGATTTCTTTTTTCTTTGTCTCTCTTCTCTTTTTGTAAAAACTGCCTTTCCAATAAAAATTAAAAAAAAAAATTTTTTTTAAGCAAGTAGTTATTCCCTCGTAGTTGCCGTGAGTTGGGAATCTGTAAGTTAGCTGGGGCCTATCTCATGAATTTGTAGACAGTCGGTCATGTTTACATTCACATGTAACTTGGCTTGTGCGTTAGAGGGTTAGTCTGTTCCAGGCTTCTTCAGTGGCTTATTGGTGGGCTCCCGTTCCTTGCCACATGAGCCTCCACATTGCTGCTCTGTGCATACAGTCAGCTTCCCTCAGGGTGAGGCCTTGCTTTCCCTGTGTTCTGCTCCTAAGAAGCAAGTCCATAAATCCACCACACACTTTCAAAAGCCTGTTTACACAAGGACATGTATATCATTATTTTATTAGTTTAAAAGAATGTAAAATTGGAGTTGTTTTCAGTGAGATGGCCAGATTCAATTTTCAATTTTGAATAGGAAAGTGAAGAAAATGACTACAAGTTATTATTTGGCAATAGCTTTGTTAGTTCTGGTTTTATTCTAGGGACAGGAAGTGCACTCCCATTCCCTGGGTCATTTTTCAAATTCTCACAGCAGGCCCTGATTGGTCCGAGCCCAGAGACACACCCTCAGCCGGGTCTCCTGCTGGAGCCAGGAGTTCAACCACGTGAGCCATTGCCACTGCCACCAGAGGAACTCTCAGGAGTGTAGAGGCGGGAGCAGGAGCGTGGGATTCAACCTGGGAGCTCCTGTGTGGGACACAGGTCTCGTAACTAGGCTTAGTGCCTATTTCTGCCATGGTAGTTTTGTCATTGTCATTTGCTATCTCTTCATGATTTCCTGGTGAACTTGACCAGGGAGAAATAGTTAGGCCATAATAACTATCGACAGGTTTTGTCTTATCTTATGGTCTTGTTAGAAAAGTTTGGGTAAGTTAAACGTAAAGATTAATTGCAAAGCAAGCATCATGTAATTCGTGATTAGCTAGTAAGCATAAAGGTTGGCAAGAATTTGAATGTGCTTGGTACTGTACTTTTTAAACCAGTAAGCAGAACTTGTGGTGAATTTTGTTACTTTAGAAAGCTAGAGAAGAGTCCTAGTAAGTCAAATAGATTGGGAACCGTTTGTTTTGAAATAAGTGTAGTAACCCAATTAAATGTATGTGTTCAAAATGTCAACATAATTTAAAGACAAATATCTCTGCAAGGCTTCTGATAAGCAAAGTCCCTAACACATATTTCTGATGATGACTTCAAGTCAGTCTGGCTTACAACTTTGATTGATAGTTTAAGTTCTCTTTAAAGAATAATATTGGCTCTGTACAGTGGCTCAGTTGGTTATTCCTCCCACTTCAAGTGCCAGGATCCCACATGGTTTGTGTCTTGGCTACTCCACTTCCCATCCAGCTCCCTGTTTGTGGCCTGGGAAGGCAGTGAAGGATTGCCCAAAGCCTTCGGACCCTGCGCCCATGTAGGGGACTTGGAAGAAGCTCAAGGCTCCTTATCTCAGATTGGCTCAGTTCTGGTCACTGTGGCCATTTGGGAAGTGAGCCAGTGGATGAAAGATCTTTCTCTGTGTCTCCTTCTTTGTAAATCTGCCTTTCTAATTTAAAAATAATAATAATAAATTTTTTAAAAACCCTTGAAACAAGGTTGTGAATAATACTTTTTAGAATATTTACTTTTTGTTAAAGATACAGTTATAGAGAGCATGGGCAAGAGACAGATGTGTCTTCCATCCCCTGAGTAACTGGGCTGGGTGGAAACACAGGTGCTTTATCCGAATCTCCCCTGAGGTGCAGAGAGCCAAGCACATGTGCCCGCTCCCTGCCTTCCCAGTCACATTAAAAGGGAGCTGGATCAGAAGTGGAGCCGCTGCGACTCAAACGGCACCCATATGGGATGCCACAATACTCCATGTTCTTCAGTTTTTTAATCTTTTTACTAAGCTTAGACTGTTTGTAGAATTAGTTTGCTGAAGAAAATTTTGTTCTCAGGTCCTTCATTTTTTGGGAAGTTTTCTTGCATTGTATCCTGTAGGATTTTTCCCCTATTTTTGCTATTCTTTTATCTGAAATTCCTGTTAATTTTAATCTCTGGCTTTTTGTCCTGAACAATTTCCAGGAATTTTCCAGGATTATCTTCTACATCTTGTGTGAGCTTTGTTTAATTTTGCCCATTTTTAATTGCCAAAGCCCCTTTATTGTGTCTCAGCATATTTTATTTGGTTATTTACAGAATTTTATCTCTGAGAAAAACAGGTTGCTTTGACTTTTGTTTTCTGTTACACTGTTTTTTCACCTTCCTCCTCTGAATCTCCTCCTCTGCGTCCTGGAGCAACCCTTCTTCCACCTCAACACTCTCCCTTTCCTTCACGCTCTCCTGCCTCCCCTTCCTCCCCTCTCTGTCTCTCCACCTTCCCTTTTTCTTATTCTCTACTTTTTTTGTTTTAAATGTTTTCTATAGTTGTATAGTCAACTATGGTTGCCTGTCTTGGTTAGCAAGGCACAAAAGAAGTTATTTGTGAGTTTTTTGCTTAGTCTTTTTGATGGTACGTTTTAGTGTGGGATAATACTTCTGTTTGGGAGACACTGCAAAATAACTAAAATATGTTTCCATTAGCAGTGTATAAGAGTTTTAATGGTTGTATGTGTGTGTGTGTATACATACGTAGGGTTGCTCAGCTACCAAAAAGAGCTGTTTGGCCTGCCATTAAGAGGAATGAAATAAGCAGTAAGCCTGTGACAGGGACCTCCAGTGATGTTTGCAGTGGCTCATCTGTCATGCTGCTGTCTAAACCTTCCTGTAAAGTGGCATCCTAACATGGTTCCTATAGGAAGGGTTGCCTGATTGATCAAGTTGAGACAGGATGTGAGGTGAGACTAGAAATCTGATTGATTATTCCTTGTATAAACTTGCTGCCAGTCTTCATGGTTTCAGCACGTCTTACCATCAGCACTGCAGCATAATCCACACTGAGGTGTAAATGCGTTTTCCAGTGGCCATTAGAAGGAATCGTTATTATCCATTAGGATTCTGGCTAGTTGGATCTCTCCAGCTCTTCAGGAAACTTTACTTTCAGAAAGCAAGACAATATAATCTTCACATTGGCTTACCTTAGTCATACTTCAAAACGAATAGAATGTTTACATTAGCCCATCAACTGCTGAATGTCTTATTTTCCCAGTTTAATATCTATTACTGATTAGATGCTTTGAACATTTAAATAATCTCATTCTTCAAGGGTACTGTTTGTATACATCAGAAATTGCTGTTTTGTCACTTTTGGCCAGTGCTACTCCCATGAGCAGACAGAAGGAAAAAATTTATAGAAGAACCTTAAAGCCATTAATTATGAAATAATGCATACATAAAGTATATGCTAGACTGATATAGAGCTTAATGAATGAAGCAAAATGGTTGTATATGTATATCCCACTTAATCAGGAAGAGGAATATTTCCAGTCTCGAGAACTTGATGCTTTCTTTCCATTCAGAGTCTGTTCCAACTCTATGTGATAATCATTTGTTGCCTGCCTTTGTAGTTTGGCTCTTGAAATTTCTAGGAAGAGCCTCACTGGTGTATCATTTTTTTTTAACTTGTCTATCCCTTGGTAGCTTTGAGAAATTTAAGAATGATGAAATTCATTGGTGTCATTGGCATATCTCAGTGATTTGTTCCATTTCATTACTTGCTGTATGTGTCTCTTTCCTTTGACGGGCAGCTGAGTTGTTCCCATTTGGGGACTATTTCTAACCAATCCTGAGAGAACTTTTTTGCATCTGTAACCTGGGCGTGTACATTTCGGTAAGATGTCACTAGAATGCGTGCCTGGGAATGGAATTGCTGAGACATAGAGATTCAGCCTCACTGTTTCCTACCAGTTTTGCAAGGATTTGTACTAAAATTAGCAGGGTCTGCGTGTTTTAATAGCAGTGCTACCTTTCCAAAACATATGGTATCTTCACCTGTTCTGTGATTTTAACTCTTGCAAGTGTCTTCTCATTTTGTATATGTTTTCATTTTCCACATGATGTCTTTTTTAAACAAGTAATTCATTAATTTGAAAGTCACGTTTATGTGAATATATGTATATACGTGTGTGTGTGTGTGTGTGTATAGAGAGAGAGAGGGAGAGAGAAAGAGAGTTCTTTCATTTGCTTGTTCACTCTGTAGCTGGCTGCAATGGCTAGGGACTGGACCAGGCTGAAGCCAGGAACTAGTCCCAAGATCTCCCATGTAACCATATACTTGGGCCATCTTTTGCTGCTTTTCCCAGATCATCAACAGGCAAAGTAAAAGTGGAGCACTGGGGACATGAACCAGTGCCTGGATGGGATGCCAGTATTGCAAGCCCTTCCTTTCCCGCTGTGCCAAAACTCTGGCCCCTCTCTGTCATGTCTTTTGATGGATTGAGGTTTTTTAATTTAGTTGAGTATCTATCTGGGCTTTCATTAGGGCTTTTCGTGTCTTTAAAAAAAAAAAAACTCTTGACTCTAAGATCATGAAGAGATTCTCTTGTATTTTGATAAGTTTCAGTTCTCTTCATATTCGATATTAGAGTTTACCTGGAGTTGATTTTGTTCTTAGTTGGTATAGGAGTTGTATTTTCTTTCTTGTTCTATAAATAGAATGAATGTCCCAACACCAATGTTAAAATGCCATAATTATACCAGTATCTTGATTTTACTTTATAAACTACTTTAGTGAGTACTGTCCTCTAGGCTTAGTAAATGACTTGGTCAGATTGAGCACAATATTTGGATACAGCCGTACCTAGAAAAAGTGGTGTGTGACACATGCCGTATGGCTGATGAGACAAACAGCTTTAAGCAAAAACAAAGAAAACCAGAAACAAAACTCCTGGAGGATAGTACGACATGACACAGTGACACTTGCGAGACTTGGGTCATTCAGAATGTTACTCTTGGGCATTGTTTTTTAGAGGATGATGAATATATAAAGCTTTGATTTTTAAAGTGATGGAAAGTAACTATAGATAACACTCCTGTGAAAGATAACCTGTTGTATAGTTGCCTCACACAGTTAGCTTTACTCAGGGGACTGGCATGGAGCCTGTAGTGCTGACATCCCATTGAGATGCCAGCGTGTACCCTAGCTGTTCCACTTCTGCTCCAGCTCCCTGTCTAAAGCCTGGGAGAGCAGCAGAGGATGGCCCAAGTCCTTGAGACCCTGCACCCACATGGGAAACCTAGAAAGAACCTGGCCCCTGTCTTCAAATAGACTCAGCTCTAGCTGTTGAGGCTGCTTGGCGAAGGAAACAGTGGATGGACGGTCTGTCTCTTCTCTCTGTACATCCTTTCCAGTAATAATGATAATAAAAAAGCTTTACTTTAGGCTGTGGTTACATAGCATAACCCAGATTTTTAATCTTTGATTTCTTGTTTTTTAGTTTAATTTTGTATCTAGGCTGCTTTCATTGTAAGGAAATTATATCATTATGAAATGAATGGGATTCAATAGATTTTTAATCAGGTCTAATTTATAATTAAATGTCATTTATGTCTATCTGTTTTTTACCATATTGTATATTTCAAGTAATTACGATTAAATATCTTGACTTTTTATTTTGCTGCTCATTTAATTATTATTATTCTGTTTTTGGGAATTTCATGGCTTTTTGTGGCTGTTCATACAGACAAGACAAGTTGCCAGTTGCCTGGGTTTACAAAGTCAGATATGTGGTGCAACACTTGGAGTGAAATGTTCTCTCAGTTTGCCTGCAAGTGCTTACTTTGTGTGGCTGCAGACTTTTATTATTGTTATGGTTGTTTCATAGGCTGTTGCAAGAACATTAAAGCTAAGTCTCCATTCTGTAAGGATGAGATGCAGAGTGATGAAAGGGAGAAATGAGGTGTCGTCCATGTTTAAAAAGTGTTGGTGGGCGTTTATCCCAGTGGTTAAGAGCTGATTGAGACTGACGACACACCATATCTCCGGCCCTGGTTTGATCCCTATCTCCAGCTGCTAATTCTTGCAGGTGCCAATGAGGGCACAAATGTTTTAATTCTGCTGCACACATGGCAGATCTGGATTGAGTTCCAGGCTCTCAACCTCTGCCCAGCCCAGCTGTGCTACAACTGCTGTGGGCATCTGGGCAATGAATTTAGCTAATCTGATGTTTACAAACCATGAAGCATTGTATACATCAAGTATTATTCCTGTTGAATCGTCGTATTTATGGATGAGAGAAAGAAACTGCGGAGATAAAGACTGCTTAAAATATAAGTGCTTCTCCCTGAGCCTGCTTTCTCCACTTGAGCTGTTAGTATGGGAATGGAAGAACTCCCCAGCACTCCCAGTCATGTGGTACTGGATTGAGAACTATTTACAAGTGAATAATGTACCTGTGGTTTTTGTTTGTTTGTTTTTTGTTTTTTTAGATTCCTACAAGCTGGATAAATCCCTCCGGCAAATACCATATTGGCATAAAAAATGGCTATGACTTCTATCCAAAGGCTCTCAAGGAAAGGATACAGGTAACATCCAGCCTGGTTTCTGGACTTTTTCCTACTGAGGAAGACAAAGTTCTTTCATGGACCAGCTAAGTCTTAACCCTTATCTGTGTCGGGGGACTGGGTGGCTTTCAAACTTAACTGCTGAAAGATTATCTAAAATGGAACATTATCTAAAATGGTGGTTCTTAATTCTGCGAACAAAGAGGAGCTTAGGGAATCTGTTGAATACACTAAAAATATATTCAGTTTTTTTTTTTTTTGGTATGATTTATGAGAGATAGAATATAGCTTTCTTTGGATTTTTTAAAATTTTCCTTACTTGAGAAAGGTTAGAGGTTTGATTGAGAATTCTTATTTTCTTGATTCTGTTTCTGTTAATTGTCCCACTTTTCCTGACTAGTTTTCTTGCTTTCAGCTAGTTAGTCAGTATTAAAAAGATTAATCAGGACTACTGAAGTACAGCAAACACAAGTCTGTCATCGAGAGAAATAAAAGGCATGTCTAGCATGAGTCAGTGCTGTTCAGGAGAGCTTTGGCAGCGGACTTAACTTGCAGGGTCTCCGCTGTCCATCCTGGCAGTCTCAAGCCACAGTAGCTGTTGAGAACTTGAAATGTGCTTGTTAGTAACTGAAAAGTAAGTTTTATGTAATCTGAAATGTAAGTTTAAATGGCAGCATGTGGCTAGTGGCTATTGCAGTAGACCATACAGCTTTAGAAGATTCTAGCATTTCTAGCTGAAATACTAGAAACAGACATAACCCCAGGTTTCAGAGGTAGAGCAAGATGTAAGCCTTGAAAATGGGCCTGATGTGTAAGGTGCATGAGCCACAGAAATTTATAGATCATCTGTGCAGATTTTATTCATTCTGGCATCCTCAAAAAGCTATAAAAGAATTGGGCACATACCATATCAAATACTGTTTTATCATAAAATGAATGTAATGGCATTTTAATGCTCTATAAAGTGCTATCAATTGTGTTGATGACATGTGATATAATAAGTTAAAATGCACCCTTCTTTTAGCTTGAGTTGACTGTTTTGCTAGAAAGGATTTCTTTGTCTTTTGGGAGCTACCATGGTTTAAAGATACTGGAGTTAAAAAAAACTAAGACCGTTTCAGTAATTACATAACGTTTTTCAGTTAGTGAGGATAGGAAAAAAGTAAACAGATTGAGGACACCTGCATATCCATCAAAGTGCAGCCGTAGTGTTATTTTAGTTCTAAGCTTGCACTTGGGTGTGGGGCCAAAAAAGAGTGCTTTCGTACTTTAAGTGACTGATAATGGCATTTAGGCGGCTAATACTTTGTGCTCCTGGAGAAGCTGAGGATTTAAATTGGGGATTATGATACATGAAAACACATTTGAAGGTACTCTGTAAGTTTGTTCTCTTAAAACCTGGGTATACAATGAGTTAACCAATTTTTAATAATTGAGCCTTGGCTTTGTCAGCTTCATTAGAAATATGGTTGTAGGAGAATTGTATGTTATCACAGCCTCTGTCAACCAGGGTCACGTAGAATAACCCTGTAGGTTATTCCAGGTTACTGGGACATTTGTCAGCCTGATTGTGAGGTAGTTTTTCTGTCTTTGCAGAAAGAACGGAAGGAGAAGATCTGGGATCCTGTTCACAGAGTAGCCCTTGCAGAAGCCTGCAGAAAACAGGAAGAATTTGATGTTGCCAACAATGGCTGTTCCCAAGTTGGTGCTAGTTGCTTTTATTTCAATATCCCCATAGAACCGTCCTGCCATCACATTCTTAGAGGACTCTTTTATGTCTCTCAGTTTATATTCTATTTAGATTTGTCATTTCCCTAATTATTTGAAAACCTGCCTTACCTTTATCTGATAATGTAAGTTGAAAGTTTCAGAGAAACAGTACATGATAGTACCAGTTCTTAATTCAGTTTGTACGTTAATCATTTTAAAGCATTTGATTACATTCATAACCACAGAACTAAAATTCAGCCTAACTTAGCCCATTAAATCGTGTATTTAATTTTGCGAATTTTAGATAATAGGGCTTACACTTAAGAAAAGGTCCTGATTTTAATATCTAAAAGTCTATGAATAATGTACGTCATAACAATTTTCTTTTAGAATTTCTTGTGTGATTGAGGTATATAGAGTGCGGATTAATGACCAGCGTATCTTGACCACTTGAAACCACCAACATGCAGCAATATCTTTCCCAAAAGAAACTGTTTTATGTTGAATATTTCTTGTTATCTGCTTTGTTTAAGCTGCAGGTTACATAGGTATAAAAAGAAAAATTTGTTACAATTTCCAGGGTAAATTGATTTTATTATTGGTTGCAATTAATACAAATTTCAGAAATATGCACGATTTCAAAATATATTATTAATCTTATTTTCTAAATTTTTAGGCAAATAAGCTAATCAAGGAGGAGCTTCAGAGTCAAGTTGAGTTGTTAAATTCTTTTGAGAAAAAATATAGTGACCCTGGGCCTGTGTATGACTGCCTGGTGTGGCATGATGGCGAAGCCTGGAGGTATGTTTTTGTTTACTCTGCAGAACAGGAAATCCTTAGAGCTATACAGTATCATCCAGTAAAATATTTGAGAGGCAAATTGACTTTTAAGTAGTTTTGAGCTTTCTAGTAGTATTTTTAACATTAAACCTGATCTGTAACTATTTTAAACAAACTTACCTCATGAACTGGCTTAACAAAGTGGTTGTTGATACACGTGAAAATATTTCTTAGTGAAATTGGACAATGTGGAAAATAGCTGAAAGTGAATATTGCAAAAATATTTTAAGATCAAAAGAGGAAAACTGAGTGAAGATTTACATAGACAGAACCTAAGTTGAAGCTACAAGTGTAATGGCAGTGGCTGAAAGGTCAGTCCAGAAATTGGAGTCTCTGCAACCTGCAGCGCGTGATTTAACCCTTCCTAACCTATTCCACTGTTAACTAGGATTCTAAAAATGGATGTTCCAAGACATAGTAAACACTGAATGTGAATATAGCCAGCGGCTCCTGGTACTATTCCTGTCATTACAGTTCAATATTTTCAGTTACCTCTCATACACCTTTCTGATTCTTAGTACTTCCAAATTGCAGTTGTGTTTTTTGGAGCTGGTTGCATGTCTTCTTGAGTCACTATCTTCATGAAAAAATATGTTCTTGTTAAAAAATCTAGGTACATGTGTGTTTAAGGGTTTCTACAATAAATCAGAGACATTTCTTTGAAACTTGATAATGAAGCATTTGAAGTTTGAGTTCCTGCTCATGTTTTATAAGATGTGGCAGTTAGAAAACATGATGTGTTGGGCCCGGCGCGGTGGCGCAAGTGGTTAAAGTCCTCGCCTTGCACCCCCGGGATCCCATATGGGCGCCGGTTCTAATCCCGGCAGCCCCGCTTCCCTTCCAGCTCCCTGCCTGTGGCCTGGGAAAGCAGTCGAGGACGGCCCAAAGCTTTGGGAACCTGCACCCGCGTGGGAGACCCGGAAGAGGCTCCTGGCTTCGGATCGGCATAGTATCGGCCCGTTGCGCTCACTTGGGGAGTGAATCATCGGATGGAAGATCTTCCTCTCTGTCTCTCCTCTCTCTGTATATCCGCCTTTCCAATGAAAAAATAATAAAAATAAATCTTTAAAAAAAAGAAAACATGATGTGAATGCTTCTGTTCTCAGCTTTTTCATCTTTATAGTACATTCTTTTTCAAAGAGGCCCTTGCTGTCACATGTGTAGATAGCAATTCATAATCTTGTCATAAATGTTTGAAATGTTCAGCTGAAGGAGAAATTCCTACTGCACTTGGGATTGAAGGTGTTCATAAAATATCTGCATATAATTATTACAATCCATATAGTAAATGCTAGTGCAGCTTTCATATGCAGAATAGATCTCCCTTGTCTTCTAGGATTACATTCCAGGGTCCCCAGAGGATGTCTGAAACTGCTTAAGACCAAACCCTATGTGTGCTATTGTTTTCATACAAAAATACATACATGAATTCAGTGCCTTTTCCATCGCAGTTAAGTAGTTACACCTTGTACTCAAGTGTAACTTTTGTAGTTTGATGTATGATAGCAAAATAACATGAGTTTCTTTTTTTCTTCACAATTTCTTGGGTAGAAGACTTTTTTAAAGTGTAAATTCTACTTTTTACCTTTTTCGCTTACAGAAAGCTGTAACTTTTCAGGCAGGTTCAGGTTGCCAGCATCATCAGTCCTGTGCTTTGGGGCTGTTACTAAGTAAAGGAGTAAAATTAGCATAGGCATGGTGAGACTGTGGCGATCAATTTGATAGACCAGATGGCTGACAGGTTACTGCTCAGTGGGTCACACTGCATGGCTACTTTGGAAAAGGGGATGGTTCATATAACAGGCAGGATGTGATGAGAGGCAGAGTCAAGAAAACAGGGAAAGACAGAGACTAAGAGGAGGAAATCTATGTGCTGACTCACTCCCCAGGTGGCACATGGCTAGAGGTTAGCGGGTTGAACCCAAGAGCCTGACACTTCATCTGGGGCCCAGGTACTTGGGCCATCTGATGCTGCAAACCTGTGCTCTTAGGGCATACCACTGTTACAAGCCAACACTTGCACCTTCTGTGAACAGTGCTAGCACCAAGATTTTTGGTTTTTTAAAGAGTTCTATATTTATTTGAAAGGCAGAATGAGAAAGAGGGAATGACAAGGAGAATCTTTCATCGGGCTCACTCCCCAGGTGGCCTCGCTGGGACTGGGCTAGCCAAACACTCCATCCCAGTGTGCCCACTCAGCCTTCCCGGGTGCATGAGCAAAGAGCTGGATCCAAAATGGAGCAACCAGGAGCTCAACCAGTGCGTCAGTGTGTGATGCCAGGGTTGCGGCTGGTTGCTAAACTCACTGTATAACAGTGGCAGCCCTGATGCTCAATGTGTTACAGAAGAAGATTCACAACTTAAAACCTAGGAATTATTTCTGGCATGTATTGTTTAGCATTTCCATATTGTTATTAACCGCAGGTTAAACTGTAGATGACTAGGACCCACTGTACTAGGTTATTTTGTTTGGTGTGCACATGTCCAAATGCATATTTGTTTTGAACTTTTTTCCTCCAAAATACCTTTTTAAAATAGTTTTCTTTCTTAAGAATTTGCTTTTATTTATTTTTATTTTATTTGTTTGAAAGGCAGAGTTAGAGGGAGATACAGATTTTTTTTTTAAGATTTATTTTTATTGGAAAGGCAGATATAGAGAGAGGAGAGACAGAGAGGAAGATCTACCATCTGCTGAGGTTTTTCCGGATCTTGCACATGGTTGGAGAAGCTGGGTGTTGAACTGACGCTCTTACAGGATGCTGGCATTGCATGAGGGAGTTTAACCACTTTCACTTCCCTAAAAACTGTTGTGATTTTTTGTTGTTGTTGATAAAATGCAGTTACATAGAAAGGTGTAGATGGCTTTGATGGCAGAGGGGAAAGATGCAGAGGGCATCAGAAGAACTGTGAGAGTTTTTGTTGTGGTCACGCAGTGTGATGGGAGATCAAGGGCCAGGCATAAGGACGTTCTGGGGTTACGGACTTGGCTAGAAACCATTGGAAACATAGAAGATAAGACTTGAAATTGCTGACTGTGTGCTTAGTTGCTGCAGGAGAAACGAAGGGAAGACACTGTAGGTGACCCTCATCCTAGGTGCTAACCAGTCATACGTTTTGAAATAAAATATGCTGCTAACTATAGCAAATAGAAGATTTGGTGGCATACTTTTAACCTTTTAACCTCAACCCTGATTCCAACTGTTACACTGTTTTCTCTTTGCCTTTTCCCACAGAAGTATTCAGTTGTCTATACCGGGGTGTAGTCCATATTTTTTTGAAAGGCTGATAACAGCACTTTGAGCTGTCACATTGGCAGAAGCATCAGAACAACCTTTTGGGGATTCTTCCAAACTGTTATAATTAGTTAATGGGATATATATGGTTCAGAAAATATGATAAGAACACTCTCATTGTGTTCTACTCTAGTGGACTTCAGTTAATGTTAGCAATGTTGGAAATTTGTTTTAAAACACAATTCTTATTCTTTAAAAAGCAAAGTAAGTGTATAATAGCTAAGAACCTAATATTGATTTTTAAATGTTGTACATTCTATTTGTGACTCTTCAATCAAACTGTGTTCTAAAGGCATTTGGAATGTATTATATTTTAAAAGTTAACAAAATAAAGGAGTGTAAATAGTACTTTCTGTGAAAGATAAATATTTGGTTAAGGCTTTTAAAATGAGAGGACCAAACCCATCCATGTACAGTTTGTCGTTTCAAGAAACCCACATAAGCTTCTTGTAAAGAAGAAGTAAGAAGTCAGGCCAGTGTTTCTAAACTATTTAAACTTGTCTAAAGCTTTAGATCAAACTTTGGTTCTAACTTCTCAGGTGGCCAGATGGTTTTCTGGGATTTTGTGATGGATGAGAGGAATCTTCGATTTTTGTGCATGGTATTTGTTCATAATAGGAATAGATAGTATGAAGAGAATTGAGAAACCATATTATGTGATCTTCAGAAAAGTGAAGAAATGATTAAATTTTGCTGTCTACTCTTTGTCAATTAACAGAGCCTGCATTGATTCAAATGAAGATGGAGACTTGAGCAAAGCAACAGTGTTGAGGAACTACAAAGAGGCCCAGGAGTATGGCTCTTTTGGCACAGCTGAGATGTTGAATTACTCTGTTAATATTTATGATGATGGCAACCTGCTCTCAATTGTGACCAGTGGAGGTATTCTGTTCCTGACTTTCTAATGAGAAACATTCCTGTAGCCCCGAGCAGCAGCGTACAGACTTCAGTGTAGAGGTCTCCTCTGGTAGACTAGTTTTGAAACCATGTTTGTCAACATGACTCAGTAGCAAAGGTTGTTTGTTTTGTCATATGGTGAAGGGTTTATTCTAGCAGTGATTCAACAGAAAGTTGAAGTGTAATGTTCTCCATAAATTAGAGCTATTTTGTCATCTCTTGTTTAAATGGATTAATTCATACTTTAGTGTGTGTGTAGCTCAACCTTATTTTTGTTTACTTCATGTCAGAGCACAGAAGTAGATCATACTTATTGTGTATCTATGGATTCTTACATTATGTATTCATTTTTTGTTAATGGATGTTTTGCTAATTGATAAATGAGCCTTTGGGGTTTTGTTTTGTTTTGTTTTGTTTTTAATGATGATGCTGTGATGTCTTGGTGTACATACACCTGCATTTCTGTTTGGTCTGTGATTAGAGGCAGGAGTCCTAGGCCATGGAGTGGGCCTGTGTTCAGGTTATACTCCCAAGCAGCAGTGTAGAGTATTTATGCCTGTTTCTCAGATGTTACCCATCCTGAAATGTATGCAGAGACATTTCTCTGTGGTTTTAATTTGATTTTCTGAGATGACTGATGGAATTGTATTTTCCCATTTCCCACTTGATAGCCTCTTATGAAATGTCTTTTTCATAAATTTCACCCATTTGAGATGAGGTCTTTATACACACACAGAAGTATTTTTTTATATATATATTCTGGATATAAAATTTTATTTGTGATTTGGAATTTTGCTTTCAATGAACAGGTGGAATCAGGGTAGAGAATAATATATATAATTCATGGAGTTTGAATTTCATGAATTATAAGTGATATATCAATGCATAGATCAGACTTTTATCATTTTATCAAGATTGATAATAGGCAGATTGAATCGTTAGAATTTTGTCAATGAGAACATTTTGTTATTTTGACCTCTTCCTCTAGGAGCTCACGGGACACACGTAGCGAGTATAGCTGCTGGTCATTTTCCAGAAGAACCTGAACGGAATGGGGTAGCTCCTGGTGCTCAGATTCTTTCAATCAAGATTGGTGATACCAGACTAAGCACAATGGAAACAGGCACAGGCCTCATAAGAGCAGTGAGTACCTGTCAATCTTGGAGTGAAAAGCTTCAAAGATTGAGGGTGTTGGGTATTTTTTAAGCTGGTAAGGATACATGAAATATATAAGACTAAGAAGAAGACTTACTTATTTTTTAATTATGTTAAAAATTTACTAGAATTCTTTGGCTTAAACTTTGTTTAAAAATTTGTTGTAGTTTTCGTTTTTAGTATATTTCAGCAGATGATTTTGAGATTTAAAAAAAAATTGTAACCTAACTTCCATCAGCTTTAGAGGAATTTAGCAGCTCAGGATTCTGTAGTTCATTTTAACATTTGCAATGGATTTTAGAATGTAGAAGGCCCGTTGAGTTCCCTCTACCTGTCACCCTCCTTGACCTCACTCCATTCTGGAAATGTTAGTTTTATTTTTGTTTGCTACTTAGTATTCTGTTCATTAACTTTTTTTTTTTTTTTTTTTTGTACCTCACCTGATTCCTAGCAGTAACTTAGTGATCAGGGTAGGATTTGTTAAAGAAATTAAGATTATTTGCGTTTGTTTTAGCAAGTAAGCTATTTCTGTAAATTCCTACTTAATATAGAGTTTTAATATTTTTAATAGATGATAGAAGTTATAAATCACAAGTGTGATCTTGTAAACTACAGCTATGGAGAAGCAACTCACTGGCCAAATGCTGGGTGAGTATTATCAGCCATGGAGTCTCATTGGCTGAAGAGCCTAAAATGTCTTTCACAGATGGTTAAATGTCACAGTGGAAAAACAGGGATTACGGTGGTTAGTTGGTAACTGTCTCCTGGGTCCTAGACCCTACTCTGTTGCTTATGATGTCAGTCTCAAGCGTAGTGGCCCCTCAGCTCTTACCTTGGTTAGTCTAACCTTGCAAGTCTTCCTAACAGTTTGCAGATCTCTGGTGTTTGTAGAATGTGTGGGTCATCCCTGTTAGTACTCCTACCAGAGTACTGTGACCCAGAAACCTCTGTCAGCTTTGCTGCCTGACTGACCGTGAGCCTTGCTGAAGCCCTGCTGTTGTCTTCAGTGACTCTGTAGTGATGGGACACTGTCTCATGTCTCCTCAGTCCATGTTGGTGTCTTTCACTGCCAAATCCAGTGCCAGAGCCCTAGCCTGCTGTTGCTTGGCTTTTTTCTTCATAGCAATAACAATTTGAAATTACCTTAGATTATTTGCTTATTGATCACCTGCCCCTCACTGCCACCAAGCCATTCAGACAAACTTAGCAGTAGGGTTCTGTAAAGTCCTGTCAATGGTTAAGTGACCAAACAAGACCCTGTCATTTGCCTTTGTTAAACAGGCTGATTTTCTCTGGCCCAGGTTCCTTGTGAAGTGTTGTTTTGCTGCTCTGCTAACACACCCAGTCGTCCTCAGTCGTTCCCACTTCATTATCTTACACACCTAAGTGTGCTTCCCTCTGTCTGACATCCATCCCTTTGGGTAGTTTCCCAGCTTGTCTTTCCGTGCTCACATTAACCCTGTACCTTTTTTAATTAACTTGGGTTTCTTCTTCAGAACCTGACTTTGTCACCTTCAGTTATGCCAGTATGTTTTTTTACTTGCTATCCAGTTCTAACAAGATTTCTTCTGTATTAAAATCATATGCTTAAGTGCTTCCTCTGCTTAGTTTCCCCTTCATTGTTGCAATGAAAAATAACATTTTTGACTTAAACAGTTCTGATTATAAACGTATATGCAGATTTCTAGAGTGGTTCCCATTGTAGACGTTATTTGAAATGGGGGTGGAAATTAAACCAGCCATTGCCCCACTACACAGTCATTGTTAATGTTTTAGTATTTTGTTAATATTTACTGCTTTTTAGTACTACAAAGTAATCTATCATTTTCTCAACATGTCTTTCCTTCATTGAGACTCCAATTATACTGTGTCCCTTAAAATGGCTTTATCAAGTCCCACCTAACACTAGATATACCAGAACTTATGTAGACCTTGGTTCTATAAACTTCTCGTGAGCAGGACTCCATTATTTTAGTTGAGAAAGTGTACTCGGTAATTCTAATGTGGAACCCATTTTTAGTCTCATTTTAATACAAATCTTATTTGCAAGTTAATGTGTCTATTAAAATGTGACAGTTTTTTTATGTCTAAAAGATTTCTCTTTTTCAGGAGAATTTGTGAAGTAATTAATGAGGCAGTCTGGAAGCACAACATAATTTATGTTTCAAGTGCTGGAAATAATGGTCCATGCCTTTCTACAGTTGGTTGTCCAGGTGGAACTACATCAAGTGTGATAGGTTAGTTTCCTGTTTCAGAAGTATGATTGTTTAAAAATAAGCTGATTACAGGATTCATCAAATGGCAATTGTGATTCTACTGTGTAGAGATACATCTTAAGCTTCTACTCAGAACTGTCCGCTAGGGGATCAGCTTCACTAGAACTTACAGTCCAAAATAGATTAATGGACCAGTATTGTCACAAATGGGTAAGTCACTGCCTGCAGTCCTGGAGCCCTGAATCGGGGCTGTTTGCACTCCCTCTTGCTCCACTTCCATTCCAGCTCCCTGTTGGTGCACCACGGAATGCAGCAAGTGATGGCCTAAATGTCAGTACCCATGTGGGTGCCCAGGTAGAGTTCTTGGCTGCTGGTTTGAGCCCGGCCCAGCCCTGGCTGTGGCACCAATTTGAGAAATGGATGAGTGGATAGAAGAAATCTCTGTGTCTTGTCCCCTCTGCCTTTCAAATATAGAAAAGAAATCTTACAAATAAAAGAAGACCAATATAGAAGGGTTAATAGATTTACAGAGTCAAAGTTTAGGTACATTAATATGTATAATTCACCAAACAATCCCATAAGATACTTGTTATATGTTTTTAAAGATTTATTTATTTATTTGAAAAAGTTACAAAGCAAAAGATCTTCCTCACACTAGTTCACTCCCCCAGATGACCACAATAACCAGGCTGGAAGCCAATAGCCGGGAGTTTCTACAAGGTCTCCCACGTGGGTCAGAATCCCAAGCACATGGCTGCTTTCCTGCTTCTTTCCCAGGCACATTGACAGAGTTGGATCAGAAGTGGAGCAGCTGGGACTCAAACTGGAACCCAGATGGGATGCCAATCCTGCAGATGGTGGCTTTACGCACTACACCACAACACCAGCCCCACGATAGTTGTTAGTATTATGGCTGATATAAAGTTAGGTTTTCTTGTTCCTTATTACATTTTTTTTCTTTTTTAAAGATTTATTTATTTTTATTGGAAAATTGGATTTGCAGAGCAAAAAAAGAGACAGACAGGAAGATCTTCTATCCACTGGTTCACTTCCCAAGTGGCCACAGTGGCCAGAGCTGAGCCAATCCAAAACCAGGAGTTTCCTCCTGGTCTCCCATGCAGGTGCGGGGTCCCAAGGCTCTGGGCCATGTTCGACTGCTTTCCTAGGCCACCTGCAGGGAGCTGGGTGGGAAGTGGAATAGTGGGATACACACCAATGCCCATATGGGATCCTAGTGTGTGCAAGGCGAGGACTTGAGACACTAGACTGCGGTGCTGGGCCCCCATTTTTTTTAAAGTGAGACAACTGTTGTAAAATATTATACAGTGTATCCAAATGAATAATGGATTTGGAATTGGGATCTGCGTTTTGTTTGGGATGGTGATTGGATTTCTTTCCCAGGTGTTGGTGCTTATGTTTCACCTGATATGATGGTTGCTGAGTACTCCCTGAGAGAGAAACTACCTGCGAATCAGTACACGTGGTCTTCTCGAGGCCCCAGGTAGGTGCAAGGAGAACCCACCTAGTTTGGAGAGGCAATGCCACTTCCAGCGTTTCCATTTTGATTTGCAATCTCATCTTAGATAATTGAGGAAATAAAACACAGTTATTCTGTTACATGAATGATGTGACATAACTGTTTATAACTGTTATGGCCTGTCCCTGTAAAGGACATGTAAAGAATATCTTCAGAAAGTAACAAGGGTATTCTTTTCAATAATTTTGATGTTTGAGTTTTGGTGGAAAAAAGAAAATGTGCCCTTTTCTCCAGCATCGCACTTATCCTGCCTCCCTGTGCTCATTTTTTGAAGTTACAACCTGCATGATCTTGGAGTAACTGGTGGGGGCTCTTTATGTAAGCAATTTCTAATCAACAATTGAAATTCGTCTGTTTTGGTTTCTTGCACTCCATTGATGTGTGTTTATCTGATTCCAGAAACTGAGTATCTTTCTCAGGAGGTATATGAAATCCTAATTTGTGTGATGCTTCATATGGCATCAGTGCAAATGCCTTTTAAAAAGTAATGCCTGTCTTAACCCCTTAAACCTGTCTGGAGTTAATTTTTCAAAACAATCTTTGAATTCACTTGAGTAAATGCTTTATTGTTTAGAAGACAAGAACGGTATGTGATATGGGTTCAGAATACCACTGCAGGGTGAGGAGGTTAGAGAACTGGGAGCAGTTATGTGAGCCTTTCACAGAGGAAGTGCCGATGGGCTGGCTTGTTGGATGGGGAGGGTGTGAGAGGTGGGCAAGGGGACACCATGAGGAAAGACAGCATGCACTCGAGAGAATAACCGTTAGACTTGTGTGTTTAGAGTGTAAAACAGATACTAAGGGGTGGTGGAAAATAGGGTCATGAAAGTTGGTTGGGACCAGACCAAATGTGATGTTCAGTTCTCGGAGTTATAGGTATCTTCTTAGACTTCTCCAGGTAATTTTTCTTTAAAAAATATTTATTTCAGCAATTTAGTGTAAACTCTTTGGCAATGAAAACAACCACGTGAATGACTAGGCTTCATCTTGTACCATAGACTGCCCTAATTAGCCCCAGAATACCACTGAACTGGGTTGCCTGCGGTTAACTGGTTGAATTGTTGAAAGTTTTTAAATTATTGCTTTTAATTATTTTCAAAACTGAGTTTGAAGTTTTAAGTTTTGTGCTATAATCCCATAAAGAAACAAAGTATTGGGGAATTTTAAACCATTTTTCCCAGTCTTATTTGGCATAGAAGATGTAAAGAATTTTTTTTAATATCAAACATTAGTGAATTGAAAGGAGAGCTTAGGTTAAGACACTGGTTCACATACTGCAAAGTGAGAGAATTTATTTGACTCTTATTATATAATAAAGTATTTTTGCATATATTTAACTATTAAGATATAAAATCCAAAAATTGGGTGCTATTCCCCAAACAATATGTCTTGTGGCAGTCATTGAAAAAGCAGTGCTTTTCAGATGGTCAGACTTGAACGTTGATTTACTTGACTTCCTGGTGCTTTTTAAAGACAGACTATCAAATAAAGTCTACATAAGCACATTTTGGTTTTATTATATGTTATAATTTAGAAGAAAAATGTCACTAATTTATTCTTAATTATAAGGAAAATGTTTCTTAAAACATTTATGGAATACTGTTTTGAACATGTAAAATGGCTTTATTACTTTGCTACTCTAACAGTGGAGAATTAATAAAGAATAAAAAGCAATCAGGATTCAGCGCTGTTCCCAAATATTTTTCAACTGTAAAGTACTGAGTGATCATTGTGAATATCGGTAGACAGTATGCAGTATACCCAAGAATGCTCGTTCTCTGTGATATGTACAAGTGACCTTCTCCCAAATGTCCTTTGAATCATCATTCTAGAGGCAGGAGTGGCAGCGGCTCACCTGGCTCAGGGAGAAGGGTCGAGGCAGCAAGTGCAGAGGCCTCTGGAGGCCTTTCGCTCTGCGTTTCCAGAAGCAGGGAGTGTGTACAATTAGGTTCATTTGGGAGAGAGGACAGAGCTGTGTTGGATGCCAGTGTTACTCAGTAAACTGTGCTGAGCTGAAGCCTCAGCTGGGCCGTCGTGCTGGTCTTACACACTGTCTTGACGTAAATCTGAGTTGAACTGTGCTGTAAGTGTGAAATGTACACCGGATTTTGAACACTTAGCATAAGAAAATAGCTCATCTTTATATCCTATTTTTACATGTCCAGGTAAGTAAAATACAATCTTAAGGTTCATCTGACCAGCCTTTTGCTAGCTTTAGCTTTTAAAAATATGGCCCATAGAGAATTTAAAATCACATGTAGCCTGCACTAGATTTCTGTTGCACAGTGCAGTGTTAGACTTGAAGACAAAGGAAATGCAGCAACTTTGTACACATGGAGAGTGTCTGTGTACACGTTGGAGAGTGTCTGCGGGGAGCCTGAACACCTTGATTTTTCCTGTCTAAATAGTCTTGCATCTTTGGCCTGTTAAATGTAAACCCAGGGGCATGCACACAAAGATTTCTGTCAACTTAGAAATGTTTCTAATGAGAACTGCACTAGATGTGTCTTACCCATGCCTCCCTAGAATAATGTCTGTCATTATTTGGAATGACTACAAAATAGCACATGATGTTGCACTATAGTTAATTTATTGACCAGTGATCTTTTAAAGACTGCCCATCTAAATCCAGCTTTCACAATCATAAACCAACTTCAATGGTTTTCTGCATAGTGCTGATGGGGCCCTTGGCGTGAGTATTAGTGCACCAGGAGGAGCCATAGCTTCTGTGCCGAACTGGACACTGAGGGGCACGCAGCTGATGAACGGGACGTCCATGTCTTCCCCCAACGCTTGTGGTGGCATTGCCCTAGTGCTTTCAGGTAAGCACCTTCCCGCAGATGAATGTTTAAGTTTTTAGCAAACATATCATAGAATTAATCATGTCCTGGGGAAAATTAAAACTTAAGGTAGAGAATAGTGTATGATAATTTTTGAAAATGTTTACTTGTAATTATTTGGCAGGCAGGGTGATAGAGACACAGGAAATTCTTCCATGCACTGATTCCCTCCCCAAATGCCTGCGAGAGCTGGGCTGAGCCGGAGCTAGAGGCTGAAGCTCCGTGGGGGTCCCTCACATGGGTGGAGGGGACCAAAGTACTGCAGCCCAGTCTTGAACCAGGAACCAATACAAAATACAAGCACCTCCAAAGTGTAGTTTAATCCACAATCCCTGCCCTGATAGTTAGAATTTGATTGTATATTCATTCATTCATTTAGAACAAATTCTTGTAAATTTATTGACTATGTGCTATTACTGTCAAGCAATATTTTACTGAACTTAGTGAAAAAAGATAGTTTTTGCTATAGTCAAGAGAGGCAGATTTTAAACAAAATAAACTTTATATTTCATGTTGTAAGCTGTGAAGCAAAATAAGCAGTAAGGGAGGTGGGAATTTCTCGGGTGACAAGTGGTATTAAGTAGTGTGGTGTCGGTGCTGGCTGGGACGCACGTTAGGGGAGCCAGGCTGCTGTGCAACTCCTGCCTCAGAAGTGTCCCTCACTCCCATCTTTTCTCTGTCCCCCCTCTTTGCCACACTCCTCCTGTGCCCTTGCACATCGTGTGCTGTACTCATACTGGTGCCCAGGAGCTGCCAGCATAAGGGACTTACATCATTTACTGGACTGAATGTAAATGCTTAGGGTGGGTTCTGACATGACTCTGACCTCCCTGTTAGTCCTGGTCAGCCTCACCAAGGTCTGCTGTGCCTCTCTGCTTAGCATCCTCTCTGCTGCTTTTTGGCCTTGTGGACTCATACACCGACTGGAAGACCCAGCTCTTCTGTCAGTTATGATGGAACATTGCGGTTTTGCATTATCATGAACAAAGTTAGTCATTGGATTTGCTCTTACAGCAGTGTCATGTCTGTGTGTTTCATCAACTATGCAAGGGACAGGAGTGACGACGCAGGCTCCTTTTACTCTGACAGCAGTAACACAGGCTGTCAGATTGCAGACCTCCACATTCGTTCTTGGGAAAGTAATAGTTCCCAGTTCTCGGACTTTATCCTGAAATCCTGGGTTGTTTTTCATACATAGCAAACCGTGGAATCCAGATCTCAGAGATTCTCAATGAATTTGTTAGACCTAAAGGTCCTTTTACTCTTTGAAGTTCCCCTGGTGTTTACAACATCCATTTAAAATCACTGCCAACAACCTCACTGTTTGACCAGGACTGTTTTAAAGACAATGTCATTCAAATGCCTTTCGGGGTCTCCTTCATGTTTTTGTGTTGCCTCTTCATAGACTGTATCAGTGCCACCGCCTGGACGCACAGAGATTCTTAGGGAATAGGATCTTGCGTGATGCAGGCCGTTTGAGTCAGATTGTTTATTTCAGTTATAAGATTTATATTAAAATGAATCAAAGTGTTAAAGTATGATCAGGGTCCGGGGAAGTTGGAAAAATGGAAATGTTTAATGCTTTCTCATTTGCACTTTTAATTCCAGGTCTGAAAGCTAATAATGTTGACTACACAGTTCATTCAGTCAGAAGAGCCCTAGAGAACACGGCAGTGAAGGCTGACAATATAGAAGTGTTTGCCCAAGGACATGGTATTATTCAGGTATTGTTATCTGCATAAGTGATTGATGGGTGATATATTTTTTTGAAGATTTATTTTTATTGGAAAGGCAGATATATACAGAGAAGAGGAGAGAGAGAGAAGAGGATCTTCTGTCCACCGATTTACTCCCCAAGTGGGCGTAAGGGTTGGAGCTGAGCTGATCTGAAGCCAGGAACCTGGAGCCTCCTTTGGGTCTCCCATATGGGTGCAAAATCCCAAGGCTTTAGGCTGAGCTTGACTGCTTTCCCAAGCCACAAGCAGGTAGCTGGATGGGAAGCAGGGCAGCCGGGATTAAAACCGGCACCCATATGGTATCCTGCTGTATGGTGAGGACTTCAGCCGCTAGGCTATTGCACTGGGCCCAATATATGATATTCAATATGTGATATTTTCATAGTGGATACTTATTGTGTAACACCGTTATAACAGTCACTCACCCTATCTAAATTTTAAATGACATGGCTTTAGAACTCTGAACAAAAGGACACAAAAGCAGATTTTAGTTAATGCCAGTTAGTTGAACCAAGGTAGAGAAATGTGCTGGATGGAGGACATATAAAATAAAATCAAAGTAGAAAAGTAGAGACAAAAACTTGGCGGTTCCGATGGCAACTTCCTTAGCTTCTAGATTGAAAATAATGTGTGCCATTAAGGGTGCATCCAGTGGTACGTGGCTGGCATTTTGTGTAGAAATGTGCGGTTATAAAATGGAAGAGAAATGCTAAGTTTTCACTTGTACTTTGCCACATCTAAAATCCAATTGGTTAGTATTTTGCAACTTAATATTTTCTTGATTCTACTATTTATATCTATTTGTGTCTTTTATATTCTCTTGTAGGTTGATAAAGCCTATGACTACCTCATTCAGAACACATCATTTGCTAACAAGTTAGGTTTCACTGTTACTGTTGGGAATAACCGTGGCATCTACCTCCGAGATCCTGTGCAGGTGGCTGCACCCTCAGATCACGGCGTTGGCATCGAACCTGTGTTTCCAGAGAACACAGGTAAGCAGGAGGCAGTAATGAGTGGGTGCACTCAGTTTGTGGTTTGAATGAGTGGTGTTGGACTTAAGAGGAAATAGCTCAGTTAAAAATACCCATTAAATTGTTTAAGGTCATAGCCATGCTTGTTGAGATTATGAGTGGATCCCAAGTACAGCGGAATGTGAGGAAGATTCCTTCCTGGGCTTGTGTCGGATGGCTGCTCATGTCCAGGGTAATACACAGCCAGCCAAACATACCACATTCCTAGACCGAAGATAGCACTTTTTAATGAAAGTAAGTTGGGAAAACAAACAAAAAAAAAATTTTCTAATTTTTGTTTTTTTTTTAATGCCAGAAAATTCTGAAAAGATATCCCTTCAGCTCCATTTAGCTTTAACTTCAAATTCATCTTGGGTTCAGTGTCCCAGCCATTTGGAACTCATGAATCAATGTAGACACATAAACATACGTGTGGATCCCAGGGGATTGAGAGAAGGATTACATTACACAGAGGTATTGGTTTACCTTCAATTTTATCTATCTTTACTCTTTTCAAAATGTTTAGAAGTTAAAAATAAAGGATCCCAAGTCTGTTTGGAGTACATTGCATTCTTGTTAAGAAACGGCAAAACCTTTCCACTTGCTAGATTTTCCAGTTCTTTCGTTAAATCTTTATTCATCTGAGCAGTAAGGAATTTTAAAATGACCCTGTGGCGGTAGCTGATTGACGTTGTGGTTGTTACGATATCCCATATCAAGTACCTGGCCTTAAATCCTGGCTCATTTGCTGAACCAGCTCACTGCTGATACCCTGGAGGACGATGGTGAAGTCTCAGGGTATGAGACGTTCCTGCCACCCATTGTGGGAGAGCTGGGACGCATCCAGAGCTCCCAGTTTGGGCCTGGCCTAACCCAGTCCCAAGGGCAATTGAAGAATGAGGCAGTGGATTGGGGTGTTTGTGCGTTCTGTATCTCAGGGAAATATTATTTATGACAAATATTTTTTTAAAATGTGAAAAAATGGGAAGAGAAAGAAGCAAAGCCTTTTTAATATTTTTCCTCTGATTTGTCCTTTGTTTCGCTCTGGTAAACATTGGTTAGTTAACGTTTACTTCTCACTTGAAGAAAACGTGTTCATCGAACAGTAACAAGCAAGTATAGAATGTAGTAGTAGTGTCTGTCTCAGAAGTTGTCAGTGACAGTAATTTAAACTAATTGCACTTGAGAGTAATTCATGTACATTCATTTTGTACTTGATGTCCCATTTGCTCATTAATCTGAATTAGAGATTGTTAACACAAATACTTGATTGTGCTTTTTTACTATTAATAATGTAGAATGCGGAAACTGATATTAATTTGTGTTTAGGACATTTTGACTTGAAAATTGGATTATTTTGTGACTGACAAAGTAATTATATTTGATTTTCTGCTTTTGTGAAAGCTTATGAAAATTGATACCTGTTGTTCCTTTTTCAAGGTGTGTGGCTATGATATAGCATCCCCAAATGCAGGTCCTCTTTTCAGAGTCCCGATCACCACAGTGATAGCAGCAAAGTAAGTCATGGGTTATTCACGGCTTCCTGTGACGTCCGACTTACCAGTGGTGTTTATGGAATAACGTGTGCTTGTTGAGGGTTGTTAGGGCAGAACCAGGTAACAGCTGATTCGTGCAGCTGCTGCGCCAGAGTGCTCAGTTCCCTCTGCCTTCCTCTTTCCCAGTCCCGAGGATATGACAGGATGTCTTCATTCCCCAGCATCCTTTTCATCCTTCTTTATCTGGGGTTTTCCCTTGGTTCTGCTTTTCTAATCTCCGGTGTATTCCAAACTCTTCATTTTCCCTTTGTCTTAGTCTGAAACTAGGGCTCTCAGAGCTGCTGTTAAACTTCCTGACTGAAATGCATGGTTACACCACAGAGCAGCAATCTCCCTACATTACACCACGATAACCCCACAGGAGTGCAGCCCCAGTCAGTGCTTCCTGTTGCCACGTGCTGTAAGCAGCTCATGCGTTCTAACACCAAATGTTCTAAGGATGTGCACGTTCGGGTCGTTTGCTTCAGTTATCTTGGCGTCCCCAAGTGAGAGAGTCTCTTGTTTGCAGTACCTTGGTCCAGTATGTGATAATTTCTCATTTAATTTCTGCACTCCTTGAAGATGAGATAATGCCTCCCTTTATGAGTTCCATTGCATTTTATTTAACTAAATGATATACAGCAAATATATATAAGACAATAAAATGTTCAGTAGTTGAAGGATTACATTGGGATTTTGAGAATTCACAAATGAAAGTTCTAAATTCGTGATTCTATTAAATTGCTCAGGTAAATATTAAGTTAAATTGTACTAGGTCTTAACCTTGAGAAACAAACAGTGAAATTGAGGATGTTAAATTTTTTTTTTAAGATTTATTTTTATTATTTTTTTATTGGAAAGGCGGATATACAGAGAGGAGAGACAGAGAGGAAGATCTTCCATCCGGTGAGCACAACTGCCAATGCTATGCCAATCCGAAGCCAGGAGACTCTTCCGGGTCTCCCACGCGGGTGCAGGGTCCCAAAGCTTTGGGCTGTCCTCGACTGCTTTCCCGGGCCACAAGCAGGGAGCTGGAAGGGAAGCGGGGCTGCCGGGATTAGAACCGGCGCCCATATGGGATCCCGGGCATGCAAGGCGAGGACCTTTAACCACTTGCGCCACCGCGCCGGGCCCAGAGGATGTTAAATTTTAAAATTAAGGTGAACGTGGATAATTCACATAGTTAGATGCCAGCCATGTGTTCTGAAGTCCAGTGGGGCCTAGACAAGGTCAGAGATAAGGATTTTAGGTTTCTGCTAACGCCTTCGGGAAGGTGTCTGTGCTCTCTTTGAGTGACCACATATTCTACTTTCTGTTGCTGCTTCTGCTCTCCAGAGCTCATAGGAAATCTTTGTTAAGCCCATGGAAAATTTGTTTTCCAAAAAGCAATGCCTGGATTTCAAGATTTTTCACAACAGAATAAGCATCTTTTAATTCCTTTTTTTCATGAATATTATTAAGTGCTTTTATATGACACTGAATGTCTCCACTTGTTCTTTTTTCCCTACTAGAGTTAGGAGCATGGTTTGTTTTGTTTTGTTTTTTATAAAATCTCCAGCTGCTAAGAACAGTACCTTTCACATAGTAGGTGCTGATCACATGGGTGTCATACTGACAAGAGTTTGTCTCTAGAATACACCTAGTGCTTCCAGAGCAGATGGTTTTACAATGGACCTTTGTGCTTAATTTATTTTTTACAAAATTAGTATTTTTAGTTTTTAAGTTATTTTTTTTTACCAAGATATAGTTTTATTAGTAGTTCTCCCCTTTCCCTTTTCTTTCTTTTCTCCCCATCCTTCTCCCCCCCCCCCCACACACACACCTTTCTCCCAGTCCTTCCTACTTTGTTCAGTAACAGAGTTGAGCATTCTGCTGTTTAAGTACATAGTGACATTACAAGTAGAAACAAAGGTAGAGAGTCTAGTATCATTAGCTCGGTATATTTAACTGTTTCACATTTATTCTTTATTGTTCAATAACATAGGAGTATTTTGGTGCCTACAAGAGAGTTTAGTTAAATAACAATCTTATAATAATGGTAATGACACTATTGGTGTCAGAGAGCATGGTTTTTGATTTTACTAATAATCATTGGACAGTGCAGAATCTGATATTAGTCAATTCTGTAAGTGTTGTTGAATCGCTTTAACAAAAAGAAGTAGAGTATGTAAGCTCAGGAAAGTATGAGCACTTTTTAAAAACCTAGTATCTGTGTAATTGGTAGAGTTTAAAATAAGCCCCAGCTTGATGGCCTAGTGGCTAAATCCTCACCTTGCAACCTCTGGGATCCCATGTGGGCCCCGGTTCATGTCCTGGCTGTCCCACTTCCCATCCAGCTCCCTGCTAGTGGCCTGGGAAGCCAGTAGAGGATGGCCCCAAAGTCTGGGACTCTGCATCAGCATTGGAGACCCAGAAGAGGCTCCTGGCTTCAGATCGACTCGCCTCTGGGCATTGCAGCCACTTGGGGAGTGAACCAACATGTGGAAGATCTTTCACTGTCTCCTCTCTATAAATCTGCCTTTCAACAAAAAAAGAGAAGTGTTTCTAAAAATTTTAATGGATAAGTAGAGAAGTTCACCTGTACTCCACAATCCAAAAATCATCTAATAATATATTCCAAAAATGAAACAGTGCATGTGCTACTTTGTAACTAGCTTGTAAGTGCATATGTTTATTTCTGATGAACTTTACATTTATTGAGCAAAATCTGGAATGCCTGAGGTTATTGCAAATGTAAGACTGTTGTCATAAAAACATCACATTTAGTAATTTATTTTTATTTTCAGAGTAAACGAATCATCACATTATGATGTGGCCTTTGCAGATGTACACTTTAAGCCTGGTCAGATTCGAAGGCATTTTATTGAAGTTCCTGAGGGTGCCACATGGGCTGGTAAGTACAAGTCAGTGTGTCTACAAGCCTCACTTCGTGTACATGCTGGTTCGTAATAGTTACGACTAGAGTATGTGAGCATACGGGTTTTTTCTCTCATATTTGGCACCTTGCTATATTAGGTTCAAGCTATGTGTACTTACTCACTTAATACAAATCAATCTAATCATGTAGCAGTTGCGTTAAACTTTCAGGTCTGTGGTAACTAATACACAGAGTATTCCCCCCAAAAATGGGATTTCTGGGATCAAGGTTGACATTTTGAGATTTGACTATTGTTTACAGCTTTTGTGCTCTTGAGGAATAGTAGGGGTTTTTGTTTTTACTATTTGCTATATGTTGATATCTTTACCTAATAGAGTATTAAACCTTTGTGAAGTGAAATGAACATATGTTATTGTAAAAATTTTAAAAAGAAGGAAAGAGAGTGTTGGGGAACATGGCAGGAGGGAGGGTGGAGTGGGTGGTATCACTGCGCTCTTAAATTTGTATTTTGAAATGTGATCACTTTAAATAATAAGATATTTTTTAGAATCACTGAACTGAAAGGGTAAAGCACTGTGGTTAAGATGCTGCCCAAAATACCCACATCCCACGTGGGAGCTCCCTGTCCACTCTGGCTTCTGACTAATGAATGCATTCCTTGAGTGGCATCCAGTCATGTCTCAAGTGCTCAGCCCCTGCCGTCCACATGGGAGACGGTGGGTCAAGTCAAGCCTGGCTGCTGCCCCTGTTTGTGTACAAAGGGGATGAGGATGTGGGAGGGATTTACATTTCAAATACATAAATCAATAAATGTTAGAAACAAGAAATGTACCACAGGTGAGGCCTATTTAGTCAGGTAGAAATGTTATTATGATGTTAGATTTGCTGCTCCAAGCAGCCGATTAGGTTCTGAGAGCTAGCTCTATATCTGCTTGTCCCAGTAAACAAGAGAGCCAAGGTGTTCTTCAGTCCCCTTGAGCTCCGGGAGCAGCTGTATGACTACGCTGAGGTTGTTTCACAGTGATTTTGGTTTGGTTCCAAGCTGTGCCACAAAGTGAAATCCAGTATGTGTAGTTCTAATGCTCACACTATATACCATCAAACAGGACACAGATAGACCTGGAAGGAGAAGCTTCCTGGAAGGAAATGATTGATTAGTAGAACCTGAGTTTCCAAAATGTTGTAGCCTTCTTTCCTTTACCATTTATTACTTGGTTTTCAACTAAAACAGAAGGAAAGGAAGGAATTACTTATACAATTATTTGTACAATGTGCAAATAATAATTTGTACATTGCTAATAGCTTAATGTTTCTTGGTGTTTACTGCATGATAATTGTTCAATATCAACTTATTTCATATAAAAATATTCTACCCTTCCAGCCTTACTAATATCGTGTTTTTTTTTAGAAAATAGTATGTTTTTCATTTTTTAATATATCGTTTTATTTGTAGTATTTATTCCTAAAGAAGTAGGCCATTTTAAAACTCATTTCTGTGCATTTTAAGTCTTTAACAATCCAAAAACTTTGCTTCTCTGCTTCCCTATCTAGAAGTTACCGTGTGTTCATGTTCTTCTGAGGTGTCAGCCAAGTTTGTTCTTCATGCTGTACAGCTTGTGAAGCAAAGGGCGTATCGAAGTCATGAGTTCTATAAGTTTTGCTCCCTTCCAGAAAAAGGAACACTGACTGAAGCGTTTCCTGTCCTTGTAAGTGTGAATTGCTGTTTGCAATCCTAAAACAATTTTGACATAAATTAACACTGAGTATTAGAATTCAATGTTGTAACCTGCATTCAAAGGACATTGGAAGTTTATGGTTTTGTTATTGTCAAATGTGTGAAATAGAAAGATAATTAATGTACTTGAAAGCAAGTCTGACCTTAACATTCATGTCTTTGTAACTCTGCAATAATTTAGTCAAAGTGCTAGTTGGTAGATTCTAACACCTCAGGACTTGGACCATGGTCTGGATTGCTGCCTCATGAGTAGACCAGGTCTCTCAGACTTTCCTGCTTCTCACATAACTTATGAATGTTCACTTACTGAGAATCCATGTTGTAGATGAAGCTGGTGCAGGTCTCCATCCTCTTTGCTTCTGAGTTAGAAACGTGTCCTCTATGGAAGCAGAGCATGCTCGTGTCACCTCCGACACTTGCCGCTTCGCATTTACACATGGTGTCATCTTTCTCCTATAGCTTCATTTCTGGAAACTTTCATTTGTACTCTGTACGTAATTCATTTTAAACTCCCCAATTCACTGACTACTGGAAACCTTAATTTAAAACTCAGTGGTAGGAGACAGTTTTACTTGATTGTTGCTTCACTTTTTAATAGGAAGGAAAATGTTAGTGAACATCTCATTTTGCTTTGGTACCTGTGGTTGGTGAAAATGCCTTACACAGTCATCCTTGATGTTGTCATTCGGTCTTTTTTTTTTTTTTTTGCTCCTAGTTCTTTATTCCATGTTGTTTTTTTCAACACATGCTATTATGTGTGCTTTCAAAAGCCACCTGAAATCTCCTTTGACAAGAAGTGTAAGTAACTGTGTGTGCAAATGCTGGCACCCTGTCTGTACAGTAGCGATTTGTCATTTTCCTAGCTGGTAGGAGTTCCTTGAGTTGTCTTACTTTAAACAGGAAAAGCTTGAAAGCATAAAATGCCTCTTTAATAACTAATATTTATATTATGAATTTTGAGCAAAAATAAGAGATCTTTATATTCTGACATTTTTATTTGTAGGGTGGAAAAGCAATTGAATTCTGCATTGCTCGTTGGTGGGCAAGTCTTAGTGATGTCAATATTGATTATACCATTTCTTTCCATGGGATTGTGTGTACTGCTCCTCAGTTAAACATTGTAAGTCCTACAGTATTTCCATGCTTTTGAATATCATTTATTTTTATTACTGAAAAATATTTTCATTGGTTACATTTAAATAGTAGGCTTTGTTCATGGATACTTACATACTTTTCAGTCTACACTCTTATTTTTTAACAAATTATTTTCAGTAAGGAATGAGGCAATAATTTGATAATGTCCTTTGTAGCATGCATCGGAAGGAATCAACCGTTTTGATGTTCAGTCCTCCTTGAAATATGAAGATCTGGCTCCTTGCATCACTTTGAAGAGCTGGGTCCAAACATTGCGGTATTGCTCACATGTTCGATGTCATTAGGGATAGATCTCCTATACTCTTTGTGAAGCATTTTTTTAACATTTTTTGTTTAATGTTTGTTTATAATTTTCTACTTGAAAGAGAAATAGAAATCACCCATCTACTGCTTCACTCCTCAAGTTCCTGCAGTAGCCAGGACTGGGCTAGACCTAAGCTAAGCACTCGAAGTGGGTCTCCCACATGGCTGTCAAGGGCCGTCATCTGCCGTCTCCTAGGATTCACTACCAGAAAGCTAGATCTCCAGTGGAGTTCCGGCCTCAAGCCAACACTCTGGTGGGGGATGCTGGCATCCCGAGTAACATAATTCCCTGAAGCACAGTGCCCGCTGTTGTAAAGTATTTTTACAACAACATGTTTGAAAGCAGGACACTGACCTGTACTCACATATTCACTACATTATAAAGATACATGGCTTTTACAGTTTCTATGAACGGTCTATATCAGCATGAAGCCAAATCACAACTACATTATTAAGGTGCAGTGAGAAGCTAATCCTTGAGATGCCCGCATCCCATATTGAGATGTGGTTTGAGTCCCATACCTCTTTGACCCCAGCTTCCTGACGCTTCCTAGCAACAAGTTGCCCTAGTACTTATGCCACCCCACCCCCCGTATGCAAGGCAGGCTCTGTGTCCTGCCTGGCCCACGTTTGGGTGTTGCTGGCATTTGAGGACTGACCCAGCAGGTGAGGGAGATCTCTGTTTCTCTGTGTGTGCGTGCGTGCGTGTATGATTTTGCCTTTCAAGTAGGTGAAAATAAAATAAGCTTTATTTTAAAGAGATAACCAGCTAGAGGTGGTAGCCAGTGATGCAGTAATGCCTATAGATACACCATTTCTAGAATTATCAGTAAAATTAAAACTGCCAACTTTTGAAGATACAATAAATCATAACATTTTAATGTTTTCGGCCTAAATCTCAATAGCTAGAAGTAAATCCAAGGAGTAGATTATTACATTTTACAAACATTAAACTTCCCCAATCTCAGTATCTTCCTTCATGAAATCAGGACCTTAATAACTTACTTGAGAGAATATTAGACAGGTCAAGTACCCTGGTCAGCCTGAGCTTGTGTGAGAATGTGGAGAACAGGAGACAGGTCAGGACCTATGCCCGTGCTGTAGGAGTTGCCGTCCTAACGTTTGGTTGTGGTTGTGTTAAGAGCGCTATGCAACATTTGCAAGTCCTTTTGGTAGGGAAAGATTTCCTTTGCCACATTTATTGCAAAATGTACCCATATACCTTATGATTTTGTTAAAATTAAATGAGTTAATGAATGAAATACTACTGAAATCTAAAGACAATTCTCAGGAATATTCACCTATCACATTTTATAATGCATAAATTTTCTTGCCTGTGATTTTATCTCATTAAATAAGCTCTTCGATCAAATCAGTTATTTAATTGTCTCATTACAGCCCAGTAAGTGCAAAAACAAAACCTTTAGGATCAAGAGATGTTTTGCCAAATAATCGCCAACTTTATGAGATGATTCTGACGTACAACTTCCATCAAGTAAGTGCCTAGTAAAATATATCTTACTGTATTTTATTTAGGAGAGTGGAAGGACAATCTATAGTATGGTATGAAATGGAATTAAGTAGCCAACACTTCTTATTAGAGGTATTCTTTAGCAGATCCTGATTTGTAATTCTTTATATTCCATTCATGGTGGCATGGCCTTTGAGCTTCAGTTTCTGCAATCACCTGTGTCTATCCAGGGATGCCATCTGAGACAGGCATGGTTATACATCTCAGAATGTCACGTACTGGTTCCTGTGAAGCACACATCAGAACAGTGGGAAAAAGATCAGGTTAGCTCCTAGTTGAAATGGTTGGTAAAAGTAGATGAGACTGCTGTAGATGATAGATCAAAGTATTGCACAAGCACTGATTACAATAGCTATTGATATCATATTAATTAATTTCCACTGGAGGACGTGATCTTTGTTCTTCATGAATTGCTAGATTACTGTATATAAAGTGAGAAGAGGTTTTGAAGGAGAGTTTCACAAAGGTTATAGAAATGCCTGTTGTATGACCTTGCTAATGAGTGCCAATATCTAGCTTTCTACTTTTAAAAGTCTGTAAAGCCAGGCCCAAACAGTGGCATAGGATGCTAATCCTCCGCCTACTAGCACCAGCATCCCATATGAGCACTGGTTCTTGTCTCAGCTGCTCCACTTGAATCTCTGCTTATAACCTGGGAAAGCAACGGAGGATGATTCAGGTCCTTAGACCTCTTCACACATGTGGGAGATTAGGAAGATGCTCCTGGCTCCCAGCTGTGGATCAGCTCAGCTCCTTCTGTGACAGCTATTTGGAAATAAACTAGCAGATAGAAGACATAGAAATCTGCAAGGAAAAGTGTCTTTTATTAATGCCACAATGGTAAATGTTCTGTTTTCAAATCTTTTTTCCAAGATAATTTTAATACATTTTCATTAAGAATTCATGTCTGTACCATTAAAAATTTATAGTGGAAATCATACACAAGCTATGTTGAATAATCACTCTTATTTTTTTTTTTTTAGCCCAAAAGTGGAGAAGTAACCCCAAGCTGCCCACTGCTCTGTGAATTATTATATGAATCAGAATTTGACAGCCAGCTGTGGATTATTTTTGATCAGAACAAAAGACAGATGGGCTCAGGTGACGCCTATCCGCATCAGGTATAGAATGAGCAGTGACGTTCTCACCTCCCAAGTCATAACTGCTAACTTCTTAATGAATATTTGTGTTTTTTTAAACACGGTTTTACATTTAGTAAATTTCTAATTCTTGAGAGGTTCCGCTGCCAAGTAACAATTACGACAACCTCTCTGCCTGAGTTTGCACTAACACCTGCTTTGGAGCAGAGGAGGCTAAGGATGACCCTGGAGACAGGGCAGCACAGGGCAGCACTTGGGTTTATAGTACATGTGCTCCCTGCACAGTGTGTTCACCTGCCTGTGATGGACAAGCATGAAGAAATGATCTCAGGTGTGAATGGGTTGATCACGACCACTGCAGTAGTGGCCGTGTGGCCTCGGTTGATTACATCTTTTCAGATTGAGAGTGCTTACATGTCAAAACTATCCTTGTGCTCTCACACTGAAGGGAGACAATTTTCCAGTAATAGAATTTAGAGAAATGTTTTCCATGAATAAAATATTACAAGGAATTAGATAATTCCTGTAATTTTATGCAGAAAAATGAAATAATTTATTAAAGTTTTAAATTAGCCATTCAAAGAAAATCTATTTTTTCTCAAAGCAGGTAGCATTTGTAATCTCAGTACATACAGGTTACTGCAGTGCCATTAAGTTAGTGACTTTTACATCTTCTCAGAGGAAAAATGCTGACTCAGAACATAGCATCCCATCTTATTGTGCTCATTAGCCAGGTCAGGCATAGAAGATTTTTATTCTTTGGTCTTTGCTGACTTGTTTCTTCTTGTGTGTTAATTAGGGAAGTGACACTTTAGTTGTAATAAAAATATTCCCAGAAATCAAGTATATACACCGATATTTGTATATTCATCTTGAGCATTGTTTTGTACCTCCAATTTACTAAATTTTTGGCATTTGGGGTATGACTTAGACAACCCACAGCTAGAATGTTGTTTTGCTTATGTCAGACTGAGCAGATACTGATTGAGTTTAGGCTATCAGTGAGGCCTGCTGTAGAAAGAGTACAAGTTTGGAGTCAGACCTTACTTGAGTTCCCTGACACTTTTTTTATGTTGGCGTAGGCAAGTCGCTTGATGCTTCTGTCTTGTTAGCCTGCCAGCATGCTGAACTATGTGTGTGTGTAAAATACTCAAATACTAGCTTGCAGGGTGCCTCCCATTGTATTGCCCATTGCTCTTCACCTTCTAACTGTGATTTCAACTAGCTTGGTTTTCAACCTTTCTCAAATGTTTTTCTTTTGCAGTATTCTTTGAAACTGGAGAAAGGAGATTATACGATTCGCCTGCAGATTCGTCATGAGCAAATCAGTGATCTGGAGCGTCTGAAAGATCTTCCATTTATTGTTTCTCATAGGTTGTCTAACACCTTGAGTTTAGACATTCATGAAAATCATAGCCTTGCACTCTTAGGAAAGAAGAAATCCAGCAGTTTGACATTACCACCCAAATACAACCAGCCTTTCTTCGTTACTTCCTTACCTGATGATAAGTAAGTGAAAATATCGATTTTACTTACTGACTGTCATTTTTGTATTATCATTATAATGTTAGTCCCTTACATTAGGATGAATTGAGTGTATGTTCATCTGTCATTTTAGGCTGAGGTTGTTTTTCAACTACTCTTTACTCAAGGATAGAATTGTTTTGCTATTTCCTTCCTAAATTATCTTTGTGACACTTCCTTCTTTGATTTCTGTTGTTAGAATACCCAAAGGGGCTGGACCTGGATGTTACCTTTCAGGATCCTTAACATTATCAAAGACTGAACTTGGAAAGAAAGCTGTGAGTATTCATTTTTACATTGAAATTACCTACTCTGAAATTCTGTATTTCTTTGGAATGGAAATCAAATCCGCATTGGAGGTTGAATAAATGAGAAAATGTTGCTGGAAAAAAAACATTTTTTTATGATTTTTTTTTCCATATCGCTAATAAAGGTAAATTAACATGTAATTACCTTTTAAGAAAATCATATTTGTGTAGACATTTAAGTGTGTTTTTTTTTTCATACACCTAAGTTCTTGTATCCTAAAACCATACAATATAATGTGGTTAATAGGCTTGAACTTTTCTATGAAGCGTATAGCTCCACATCAGACACAGCTTACGTGAATGGGATGTTGAAAGTTAGCATACAATTTTAACAACATAGAATATAAGGGATATAGGAAGAAATTTGAATATCTGTGGGTGCTTCTAAATAACAGAACAATTAATACTGATAAAAGTAAGTTTTCACATTTGTACAGAACTTTCTTTTGCTGGAATGTTACATAATTACATAAATTGAAGGGTTTGGGGGAACTGCCCTTTACAATCACAATTTTATTAAATGTTTTTCATTATTATAGTTTAGAAATTGATGTTACAAAATTTTGTAGGTATTTGTGTTAGTGTTTTGCCAATCTCTGTTTTTAATATAGATTTATTGTGTGAACACTGTGTATACAATTCTGTCACCTTTTCCATGTTACCTACCATTTTAGCTCAATGCCAGTGAAACCAATTGTCGTTCCCAGGGTTCTGCATTCTCTTGGGCATTAGTTTGCACAGAGTACATTAGTCTATCATTTAATGCTGGAGGTACTATATGCTGTTATCCAAATGAGTACATCTCATACACCTTTACTTCTTGATGAACCAAAAGCCACTTATTCACTGTCATTGATGTGTAAGTTGGGAATTTGATAGAAAGAGTTGTTTATGCCAACATTTCATAGATATAATTTCTGTTACACTACTGATACATATGAATACATACTTTATTATAATTTCAAATAAATCATTAGCTGATGATCCTAGAATCTGTGTGTGCACTAATTTGAGAACTCCTGGTAGTAGTCTCTGTAGATCTCATCTTATGGGAAGCATAGCTGTTTCAGCCATGCATTTCTCACCAGCAGGCAGGTGACGCTTCTGAAGAGTTAAAAAGATTGTTAGTCTAAGTGATTAGAGTGACTCAGACGTAGTAACTATTGTTGACTGTATTGTTTCATTGGCAATTGTGAAGTCAAATTTTAAGTGTGTGGGATTAACTTAGTTTATTGTTGATCAGAGGAGGCAACATTAACATAATCAATCCATTATAATTATCAGCACATTGTTTAATAACTCCACAGTAGTTTGCGTTGGTTGTGTATTTGGTGGTGGGGATGGCAAGTGTTGACTTTACTGCATGTTGACTTTCACAGTAATTGTAAATGATGCTTGTCATAAGAATGCATACACCTGTGATTATCATGACATGCTTTAAAGTCAAATTCTGTAGACCATTAGCTAAATTCAGTCTTTAAACCTTCATAAGCTAAGGACTATTGATTTAATAGTTTTTTCAGTTAAAAAGTTGAAAAGCTTTTTTTTTCCCTGGAAATAATGTATTTAGGTGCATTTTTTTTTTCTTTAAAAAATGAAGTGGCAATGTTGCTTTTTAAGAGCATGCCATTTTCATCATAGACTTGACCCTCCTAAGTGCTGTGACACATACAAGTGGAACGTAACTGGAAGACAATTAGACAGAGGTGGTGTCTCCATCCTGTGTAGATCGTGCATGTTTTCTTACAGAATGTCGTTCTAACTCCCAGGGGCAGTCTGCTGCAAAACGACAAGGAAAATTTAAAAAGGTACTGATTGTCAGTTCTTACAAAAGATGTCTGAACCCTTACTCACATATTAGTTGAACTTTCTTCTGTCACTAGTATAAGTCTCTTGTAACAAACTGCTAGCTTCCTTTCTTCACATTCTGCAGTATAATGCTCTTAGCAGTGCTGATCTACAGAAACGCGTGTTTCCTAAAGACACTTCTTCAGTTTACATGGCTGGAAGACCCTGGTTTTCTGTGGATAGACAAATTTTAATGCTATTCATTTCTTATATTAGATAACAGTTGAAATCTACAGTGTTTAAAATCCTACAGACAGATGGATGCGATTTTTTCTTAGGTGAATAAGATAAAGAACTTAAGTGTTTTTAAAGTTTACAAGCATTTTTATTTTGAATAGTTTGATCAATCAAATTAGTCTTATCTTTTTGAAGTGTTGTTTTGTTTCCTATTGTTACCTCTGGCCTCATTCTGGAAAGTAAGAGACCAGGAGAGCAATGGGTATAGTAAGGTCAGAAACAGACTGCTGGTTGAAATGAAAGTTCACACCCAGGTCACAGCTGATTGAAGACTGTAGCTCAAATGGACTGGACTTCTCTGCCACTTCAGACAGTCTTTGATGGACCCCTAAAGCCCAGTTTAGAACATTGCGGCTTCACGTAATGCTGTCAAGAGAGTGCCAATATTTATGCATGCTTAACATCTTTCAATGTTTTAGTGATTTGTCTCCTTCAGGGATGAAATATTGCAGTGCAAGAATCAGTAGTATTTTAAGGTATAATGAGAAGAGGTCTTTATGTTCCCTGATTTGTAGTAATAAGAAACTAGAGAACACCATTTGATGATGAGTAAATCTCCTTGTGAAACCATGCAAACACTTTACTCAAACAAAATGCACCATCAGAAATTATCTTTTCCCAATAAAGGATTCTTATAAAAAATAGTTGTTTTTAGGCTGGGTGTGTCTTGACCCATTTAAGGACCTTGTAAATTCATTTAATGGAGCATAGCCATCATTTAAAAATAAAACAGGAAATGTCAGTTCACTCCCAGACAACTATAACTTTGTTATATGTATTGATGTATTTATCTTTGCTCCGTTTTGAAAGTGGTTTGAAAGCCACTGTTTTGGGGAACAAGGAAAAGGTTTTGTGGAATCCCATTAAAAGTAAAAGGCGTTTGTCATGAATACCATATCTGGTTTCTTCCCTTATTATACATTTTGATTGACCTTTGGGAATTTGTATAGATTATTTTGAATTAACCTATAGAAGGTAGGAAAGAAAAAAAAAGATAAATTATTGAATGTACTAAGAGATTATTGTTGAAAATTATTAAACCTTGTGTAAAGAACTTAGAGTTATCTTTACTTGTTTACACTGTAACACTGTATCAGTGCGAATATATGGTATCTTATTTTTTAAAAGATTTCAATCACATAATTTTTTTAGTTGTTGACAATACCAGTTAACAATTAATATGTCATTTCCCATGGATTTTTCTCTGGATTATGTAGACTTTTTTTTAAAGATTTATTTTTATTGCAAAGATATACATAGAGAGGAGGAGAGACAGAGAGGAAGATCTTTCATCCGATGATTCACTCCCCAAGTGACCGCAAAGACCAGTGCTATGCTTATCCTTAGCCAGGAGCCAGGAGCTCTTCCGGGTCTCCAACGTGGTTGCAGGATCCCAAGATTTTGGGCCGTACTCAACTGCTTTCCCAGGCCATAAGCAGGGAGCTGGATGGGAAGTGGAGCTGCTGGGATTAGAATCTGCACCCATATGGGATCCTGGAGCATTCAAGGCAAGGACTTTAGTCACCAGGCCATGGTGCCAGGCCCTATGTTGACTTATAATATGGAAAAGTCCACCACCATTTTAAAGTTCATTGAAGTATAAAGCAACAGTTACTTTTATTATATTGTAATCAGCACTAGATCAAGCTATTAATCATTTAGGCAGTTGTATCAGTTTGTATAAAGCTTAATTTTTTTTTTTTTTTAGTTTATATATCTTATTTCATAATAGAACCAAGAAAACTTCCTCTTTTTGTTGCCCTTTAGGGAGTGGCGTGTTATGTCCCTGAAGAGTAGTTTCTGTTTTGACAGATGTTTCATTTTCTTAAAAACATTGTTCAGTTTTTTAAATACTTCTCAATAGAAAACACATCATAGCACTTTTGCCCTGAAGATTTTTTTTTTTGACTGATTATTTAAACCGTAATGAAGATTTCTTAAGATTTAAGGTAGATTAATTCTGTTAAATTATTCCGGTATTATGCCTTTGAAAAGTGACTTGTAAAAATACTTGACCAAAAGAGAAATGGCTGTGATAAGGCAAATAAAAAATGACCCCTTTTATTAGAAATTAAACCAGTCGGGCCCGGCGCGGTGGCGCAAGTGGTTAAAGGTCCTCGCCTTGCACCCCCGGGATCCCATATGGGCGCCGGTTCTAATCCCGGCAGCCCCGCTTCCCTTCCAGCTCCCTGCTTGTGGCCTGGGAAAGCAGTCGAGGACAGCCCAAAGCTTTGGGAACCTGCACCCGTGTGGGAGACCCGGAAGAGGCTCCTGGCTTCGGATCGGCATAGTATCGGCCCGTTGCGCTCACTTGGGGAGTGAATCATCGGACGGAAGATCTTCCTCTCTGTCTCTCCTCTCTGTATATCCGCCTTTCCAATGAAAAAATAATAAAAATAAATCTTTAAAAAAAAAAGAAATTAAACCAGTCGTGCTCGTAACTTAATAAAAGTTTTTATCTTGAGTACTTTATAGGATGCTACTAACAATCATTAATATGATATATTTAATATGTAAAATGCTAGTTGTAAAGCCTGGGCATTTTCCCTAAGGTAATTCAGGATAAATTTTGTGTCTGTGCTTTGAACAGTAATTTGAGATTTCTATGGTAAGAGATTTTGTAAATGCCTTTGTTAGAATGAGTTACTAATCATAAATTACCTTTACTGGATTACTCATTTTAGACCATTTTCTGTACTATAACACTAATTGCAACGGAGGAACTGTCCCACTGCACTGGCTTCCTGCCAGCTCGTGTCCTCCCTCTCTGTGGGGAAGGAGACGTAGGAAGCTGAGGATGAACATCTTGCCAAGCCAGGGTTTATGTTCTAGAATACTGGATGACAAACTTGAGTCCAAATATTGAGTCCTTTTTATACCTGAGTTCTCAGTCTGTTTACATTAGTACTAGCAAAGTCACCAGCCCAGATTTTGCAGGTGCCTTATGTTGGCTTTTCCTAGGAAATGCCCATCTAAAAGAGTAAACCTGAAAAAGGAAGGAAGGGCAGGTGTAGAGTTCTCAAAGAGTAGCCGAAGAAAGAGGCTTCTTGTTCTCCCACACCTGCAGTTCACAGAAGGCCTTTGCTTCCAGGGTTGCAAGCTTCCGAAGGAGGGGGCACTGACTGGCCAAGGTTGCCCTGAGTGGTCTCCCAGCCAAGTCGTTTCCTAGGCTTTTACTGAGTCATGTAAAGCAGTAGCTACTCTTTTTGTTGTTAATACTACTAGAATTCCAGTGTAGATCTTCCTTTCTAATTCTCAGAGTAAATATGAGCATTGCTCAGATGGTCACATGTCTATAGTATGTACACGGAAAGATCCTACTTGCTAGGGAATGGGGACTTGGAGAGCAGTTTTTGATTCAATTTCTGTAAGGCTGTTCCTAAAATCACTGTAATTAATGCAATGAAGACTTTTGGGTAATATGATTTGCTTCAGTTTTAGAACATTTGTTAAAATGAATATAACATTTTAATACATTTTACTTTTAATACAAACATGAAGATAGATTTTCAAAAAATGACTTAATAATGGTTTATTGAAGACACCTAGTTATTCCAAAAACAGACCTGGCAAGTATAAAGTGATTTCATTTCACAACTTATAAATTATTTTTCATAGCTAAATACATGCTAATGAAACAAATATAGTTAGGGTCCATTTCTCTGCTGTCTTCAAAGCAGAAGTCCTGGGAGCTGGGCGTGTTTGCTTGGTGTTCTCTCTGCAGGTGTGTGTATTGGTTTCTGCCTGTCCTCACACATGACACTGTGCTCATCAGTGTCGCAGCTGGCTCTGCTGCGAGGCTTTGTGGTCACCTCCTCCCTCTTGTGCACGCTGTCTCTGCCTAGGGCCTCTGCTGATCACTTCCTTCTTGATGATATTTTCTCTGTGACCCTGGATTTCTAGAACACCATGGACCCACCTCTCCCATGACCCATCCCTGCCAGTTTTATTCAACCCCATATATAATTTAGAGTTTTCGGTACCAAAGAAAACACTGTTGATCTCTAATCTGTATTCTTCCATTTTGCGTCTGATTTTCAGTTCAAGGCATTACTAGGATTCTTTTTTTTTTTTAAGATTTATTTTTTATTTTTTATTGGAAAGGCAGATATGCAGAGAGGAGAGACAGAGAGGAAGATCTTCCATCCGATGATTCACTCCTCAAGTGAGCGCAATGGCGGATGCTATGCTGGTCCGAAGCCAGGAGCCTCTTCCGGGTCTCCCACGCGGGTGCAGGGTCCCAAAGCTTTGGGCTGTCCTCGACTGCTTTCCTGGGCCACAGGCAGGGAGCTGGATGGGAAGCGGGGCCGCCGGGATTAGAACCGGCACCCATATAGGAACCCCGGGCATGCCAGGCGAGGACCTTAACCACTGTGCCATCGCGCCAGGCCCTCATTACTAGGAATCTTAAGTTTGCTTCCCAACTTGTTTTCCTGAGTTCATTTTTGCCTTCTATGATCCATTCCACAAATAGTATCAAGTTACTAAGAGGAATCAAAATGTTAAATTCATGCAGGATCCACACAATCATTAAAAAATAATTTTTTGGTATGTCACTGCTTGTGTAAGACTCTGGACTTAGGCATCTTCATGCGCTTAGAACAGGTTATATTTGAAGTTCATTTAGATGAGGTGTTACCTCTTGGGAGTGACCATCCAGAACCTCTGTGTTTCCCTTGGTTCCTTCACCTTGCCTATCAGCCACACTGTTCTTTTACTTGTTTTAATCTCTGTATATCATCTGTCAGTATTAGAGAGTAGCTACTTACTTGTATGTTTATTATCCAAATTTCCACGTTAGGATGTTTGTCCCTCAGGGCAAGAGGGCCTTTTCTGCACTGTCAGTCACCTGCTTCAGCATTGCTGGCACATGGTAGGCCTCAGTCCTATTGATTGAATAAAGATGCAAATGTCTCCTTCAGTTAACTTGGACAAGATTTTCTTTAACTTGTTTTGCTCCCCCGTTCCAATTGAAATGTACTTTTGATAGCATTTTGTCAATAAAGCTAAGAAAAGTGAAAACTCTGATCTCTTCTTTAAAAAGAAAAATTAGAAGCATCAATATTTTAAAATTGAGGAGAAAATTACTGGAATCTCAGGTTGTAGTTTTTGATACATTGTGGCCCTTAGAATCTGGAGTACAGTGTAGTACAGTCCAGATCTATTCCCTTGTGGGACATGATATCCAGCTATTGAAGATGATTTTAAAGTATGCAAAATTAATTATATTAATATAAGAATTTCTCTCCACATTTGTAGGATGTAATCCCTGTTCATTATTATTTAATACCTCCACCAACAAAGACTAAGAATGGCAGCAAAGATAAAGAGAAAGAATCAGAAAAAGAGAAAGATTTAAAAGAAGAATTTACAGAAGCATTACGAGATCTTAAAATTCAGTGGATGACAAAGTAGGTTTTTGGTGGATTTTAATTCTGTAAATATTTGGTTTTACTTTCCCAGCCATAACAATAAATGAATAGGTTATATATAAACATAGTAACAGCACATGATAGGATTCTAACTATTTATAAGTTTTATTGTATTTGTTCCTATAATTCTTTTTATGATAGGAATTTAAAATGTGTGTCTTCTGATTTTTTAAATTGGAAGGTATGAATAAGAAAGCAAAATAATTTCTCCACCCTCCAAAGATAATGATTGTGTGTTTTAGTTTTCTGTTTGTACACGCAGTAAAATGAATAATGTTGTGTTCTAGTTTTCCAATTACTTTTTGATTATGAACATTTCCTGTCATTTGATAGCCCATTAAAAATAGCATTTTAATGACTGTATCATTTATGGTCTGCTAGATACATCATCCATTTAAGCATTTTGTCTAGCATATGCATGTTTATAGCTTTTCTCTGCAATGCTTTGATGAACATTTTTATCATGAAGACTTCTTTAGTTTCTGTCAACATCTTAAAAATACAACTGTTGAGTCACATTAATTTTTGACAAACATCTTGGTTTTGCCAAATGCTGTCTAGAGCAAATATAATATTGTGCTTCCTTTACCAGTATATGGGTGCTACTACAAGATTCAAAAAGGCCACTATTGCTGTCTTTATATTTAGTTAGTAATTGTCAAGGTTCAGCTGTTTGGATGTTAGCCTTCATTTTTTGCACAGGTTGTCAAATGAAAATGTTCTTTGTCCATATTTCTGTTATTGTGGCTTTTAACTTCTTACTATGAAAACAAAACTAACACTTTTCTGGACTTGTTACAGTTCACACACACTCTCTCTGAACTTACATTCTCCATTTGTCTGTTCTCTGATCAAGTCAGTGAAGTTTGTCCTTTGGTGTTGCAGCATTGCTGATTGTCTAGGGGAGTGCTCTGGCAGAACAGCTCCGTTAACACAGTCCTCAAGGGAGCAGAGCTGTGTCCTATGAAAGTGACTCCCACGGTTAAGCCAGGATGGGGACTGCAGTCCACATTCATGTATGCCTTCCGCTTAAAGCTAGAGTGTACCTCCATCTGCAGTCAAGGAGTTTAGAGCTTTCTCTGGCTGATTACAGTAAGATGTACATTCTTAGTTTGTTCCTGCTCCCCAGTGAAACTAGCAAAAGTCATTTTTTGAGGCCTCTTGTCCTAAGCATACTGCCAATGAGTCGATGTTAAGTAGGAAAACAGGAAAATTCAGCAAAAGAGAAGGTGAGGTGTTTGTGCCAGGGCTGCTCCCTGCCCGTCTTCCCCACCCACACTTGCAGCCTCATTCCAGTGAGGCAAAAATTGACACTCAAACTGGTGCCACCATAGACACATGCTGCCTCTCCCTCAGCTCCCAATTGCAAGGAAGAATTCTTCCTGGGAGGCACAGGGCATCATTTCTCATTCTGCTCAGCCCCATCCTTGAAAGTGGTGTGGAAGATGCTGGTGCCTGGTGCTCAGAGGAGACTGAGCCTACCCACCTGGCTGTACTTCCCCAACCCATCAGGCGGACACAGCTCCTGCAGTGGGCGCTTCACTCAAGAGCGCCACCTGCAGCCAAGAGCTCACTAGGGGATCCGAGGTTAGGAAACACTGCATATATGACAGAGTAGAAATAATTCAAGCCTGATTTCTGTCAAAAGCAGTGAGGAAGAAATGAAGTAAATAACCATCTTGAAACAAAGATGGGAATACCAGGGAAGGAGAAAGTGGGAGACAAAACATTGATCTACATAAAAAGGCTGCTCAGTGAGCTCCAGCTAAAACAAATGCAAAGAAATCAACAGAGACATCATCGCAAAATAGGAAAAGAAGACTATAAATTGAAAGCAACAAAACAAAAACTACTCATCACTCACAAGACAGCTTTGAAAACTGTACACTAAGTAAAAATAGCCAGTCTTGAAAGACTGCACAGTATATGATTCCATTTGCAGCAAGTAGCTTGCTTAGGGCTTTGGGAGATTGGAGGAAAAGGATAGCTTAGTGCTGAAGAGTTTGTTTTAAAATTGACTGTTGTGATGTTTGCGTGTATCTGTTAATAAACTTAAGGTTACTGAATTGTGCATTTAAAATGACGTCACAGATTAAATTAACTTGAAGTATTATCAAGGGTTATGGTACTATTATAAAACTGATAGTAAAACTTTAATAATACAAACAGCAAATATGTCATGTAGCCAAAGTGTGTGCTAATTCTTAGTATCATGAATAAATTAAACTGATTTTTTTTCTATTCTTCCCCCAGTAATTATGAGAACAAAACTGACACTTTTACTTTACATGTAAAAATAAACACTGAGGTTTTATAAATTCTCAAGATATTTCTATATAAATTCTTTTCTGTTTTTAATATCCTTACCTTTTTTTTCTTCATTTTTCTTAGTTCAACCACAGTTGCTATGGCTCTGTAGTAGTTCATGGAATCTTGCATGTTTTACAAGATCTATAATTTATATTTTAAAAAATAGCCTTGTGATATATTTCACAATGGAAGGTATATTCGACTTTATGTTCTTGGATTTCTAGGTACCATTTAGTAAATACCACCTGCAAATATTGATCCTGCTCAGTAACTGCGGCTGGCACTCTTCCACAGGTGCCCTGCCAGTGGCTCATGGACTGTGTATTTGGGCCTATGCTAGTTGTGTCTGTACCGTGTGCATTTTTGTCTTATTATTTTTACAAACAATATGGTGTGACACCTATTTCCATGGCATTTACATTGTATCAAGGGTTGTAAATATCGGGAAGAGTATTCTAAACTGTGTGGATGGACTATACAGATTATAAGCAAATAATGCCCCATTTTACGTGAGGTACTAGCACGTGCTGCCGCTGAGCAGGGACCCTGAACATTGGTCTCCTTCAGATACTGAGGATAACTAGAATTGTCCTTTTATCTTTTCTGCAGGCAGTTTGAAATAGTGTTAGATAAAAAGAAAGGCATAAAATTTTTATATGTATAAAAAGAATGAATGTTCCTCTCTTTCTTTCTTAAATAGGTTGGATTCTAGTGACATTTATAATGAATTGAAGGAAACATACCCTTCTTACCTTCCTCTGTATGTTGCACGACTTCATCAGTTGGATGCTGAAAAGGTTGGGCATGTTAATTTTTAATATTTTATTAGGTTTATAGTATTGCATACGGTTTTGTTTTGTTTGAGCAAAGGTGCAGTCTTACACTTTTCTGTTCTTCACAACTGGAAAACTTGTTTCCTCCAAGTGAATTTGTTACTAACTATGTTTATTCAGATAATTGGCCACTGTTGTGAGTTTGCTTTGAGGATTCTACTGATGCTCTGAATAAGATGACCTTAGGATTATGGTAGTAACTTCAACCATGGGGTAGAGAGCAGTAGGCAGAGGTCCTGGTCATTTGGAGAGCCGAACGCTCTCACTGAAAGCAGGAAAGCTTTGTGTTAGCACTGCTGCAAGAATCACCCGTGGTGCCAGACCGCCCTAACTGGGCTGCTCTCAGCAGTGGCAGTGTGTAGTCGGTTAAAAGTCACCGAGGATTTTGAGTCAACCAGACTTCCTAAAAGGCTAAGAAAGGTGAGCGGCAGTGAAAATACTGAGTAATCACAGTTATTATCTTAAATCTCATCACTTGGGGCTTATGGAATAGGAAGAATTTGTTTCATCACGTGGAACTTTATTTAACTTATGTTTTCAAGTGTGGGTTCAGGAAAGCAAGAATAGGTGATCACATTCCTAAAATGTTAAACAGAAAAGGAGTTGCCTTTTTAAAAAAACATTTAAAAATTTTACAAACTACATTATTTTTCCCTAATCTCACCATTAAACTCCAACAAAGAATGCAAACTAGGATTTTGTGTGTGTGAGATCAAATTTTGTAGATATGCTGATAATTAGAAAAGCCACATTAAGAGTTAGCGTGGGCTGTAAGTAGATTTTTGTATCCCCCCCTCAAGCTGTGATTAAAAATCTTAGAGACAACAGAAACAAACATGCTTTGGTTCAGTGATTATTACACCTATTTTTTCCTTATTTCTTTTTTCCCTTCCTAGGAACGAATGAAAAGACTTAATGAAATTGTTGAAGCTGCAAATGCTGTTATCTCACACATAGATCAGACGGCTCTAGCGGTTTATATCGCAATGAAGACTGACCCCAGGCCTGATGCAGCTATTATCAAAAAGTACCTGACCAGTAAATAATCTTTCTTGCATCTCATTTCTTAGTTACTTGATAAAAACTAGGGATGCATGTGACTAAGGATAGTCTTTTATGCTTATGTCGTAAAGTCAGAATTATCAATAGTAGATACTCCCTTGTTAGAAATTCTGTAATCGCTTTCTCCATTCCTCTAGGGACAGACCCAAGGCAGGGCCTCTTACTGCCAGGAATTTGAACAGCATCAACCACACAGTCCGGCTACCTGGGTTTGTGTGGACTAGATATATTGAGGAGGCAAAACATAACACCCTGTAAAATTTTTGACTCATAACATGGAAAGCCTAAAATTTAATTGGTGATACCTAATAAAATAAATGATAAAGCAAATAGTTTAAAATTATAACCTGACAACTTGTTTTACAGAGCTAGCTTTGGAAAAGTAGTTTTGTTTTGTTTAATTCATTTACTTATTTGAAAGGCGGAGTTACAGGGAGAGGGAGAGGGGTGTAGGGTCAGCATGATGGCTGAGTGGCTGATCCTCGCTTTTTAAGTGCTAGTATCCCATATGCCAGTTGGTGTCATGGCTTTTCCACTTCCCATCCAGTACCCTGCTAGTTTCCCAAATGGTAGTAAAGGCAGGGCCTGGGCCAAGGTGAGGCTAGAAGCCTGGAACTCCATCCGAGTCTTCATATGGGTGCTAAAGGCCCAAATGTTTGGGCAGTCTGCTGCTTTCCCAAGTGCATTACCAGGGAGCAGAATTGGAAATGGAGCATCTGGGCCTCGATCCAGCACCCCTATGGGATTCTAGCATTGCCGATGGCTTGCCCTGCTATATCACAACACCAGTTCCAGGATTGTGTAGAACAGAAAGGCTTTATAAAACTCGGTATAATGTGCATAGCAAGGCCTAACTGAGTTTGTAAATGATTTCATTTGAGATCATGGCTTTCTTTGGTCATTTTAATGATCCGGCCAAGGTAAACTCAAATTTTGCTATTTTGATTTTGTTAATATTTGAAAATACAGCTACCATTTATTAAATGCTAGTTACACAGGAGAAATCATTTGGAGCCTTTAAGTGGTCTTATTTAAACTTAGTCTCCCAAATCACATGATGTTGGGAAATATTTACCCAATTTTATAGAAGTGGTGTCTGACGCTCCAGGAGGTAAGATACACTGGCCCAGGTGCCAGTGCTGTAAAGTGGGAAAGCCACTGTTCACATCCATTACCATCTACAGAAAAAGCAGTAGGACTTCAGTAAAAATAGTGAGGCAGAGACACAGATCTTCCTTGCACTAGTTCACTCTAAATACCTGCAGCAGTTGAAGCTGGGCCAGACCAAAGCAGAGGAGCCCAGAACTGAATCCGGGGCTGCATGGTGGCGGCAGGGGTGCGAGCGCTGATCCATGGTCTGTCTGCTGCCTCCCAGTGTGTGCGTCGGAATCTGGAATTGAACCTGGAACTGGGACTCAACGCCCAGACACTCTCATAGGAGATACAGGCACATGTCAAGTGCCCGTCCCAAGCACGATTGATTTTTATCTCAGAAGTCTGAGTGTAGCCCCCAGAGTACCTGTTGTGGTTGATTCTGTCACACACAGTGGAGGTGTGTTTCTCTCCCAGGCCATCCCCCTGTCTAAACACCAAATCCCCTCGCTACTCCTCAGGCACTAATAGAGCTTTGCCTCATCCTGACTTCTGCCGACAGCATAATCTGACATCTTCAGTTTCCTGCATGGGATGTTCATTTATTGCTAGATTGATGTGCCCTCCAGTTCTACTGCCTTAAAGCCAGGCAGTATTAATCTTCCTACAGAAGGAATCTGGCTTTGATTGCGCCGGAACTTTCTTCTTTGAATCCCCAGTGCCAGAAACAGTGGCCATGTTAAGTCTTGTTGAGCCCGCTGTGGCACCAGCCTTAGCTGGGCGTGAGGCGTCCCAAAAGTATGTGTGAGAATACATGCGTGTCGCTCATCCTGAAACTTTAATAAATTCTAAGATCTATTTATATCTCCTGATATTTTTGCCTATGTCTTCTTAACATTACCATCCGAGACTGATCTCCATTGCTGGTCAAGGCGAACCAAAAATTTAGTGTTTTTTTTTTTTTCCTCGTCATTTCTATTTCATTATTTCATATTGGGTCAATGGTAGATACTGTCTCCATTGTAAAATGATAACCTAAGGCAGGTGTTTGGTAAAGAGCCCAAGACTGGGGACACCCATGTCCCACATCAAGTGCCTTGCTTCCTGTCCCAGCTCGTCTCATGGCAACCTACTGCCGATGCATGTGCTAAGGGGATGATCGGAGGTGATGGTCCACAGGGTTCAGTCCTTGCCTAGCCTGGCTTCTGTGTGCTTTGGAGGGATGAACCGTTATATATTGTTTCATTGGCTCTGCCTTTCAGATAAATAATATTCTTGTTAAAATGCAGAAATGCAGTTTGAGCTTAATGCGGCTTTGAAAAAAAAGCATGATAAAAAGATTGTGAAAGTGCTCAGAGTGGATCAAGTTTTAAGTTATTGGCAACGTTGCATCTGTTTGCTCTACCTTGTTTCCCCAGGCCTTTGCTTTAGCTGGACGTAGACCAGCCGTATTTGAACTGAGGGTCATATTCAGGTCCGCAGTAGATTGCTCTCAAAGCTGCATGCTTTAGGGGAGTATATTTCCCATAGATTTCATCAACCGCCAAGTAGCAGTGGGACTTACCAATTTCTCTTGAGTCAAAAATAACATTTTATAATTTTATAAGTGATATTAACTTTTAGTTCAGTTGATACTACATTTTGCTTATTTAGGCATTAAAGTATTAATTCAACTTAGGTTTCTTCCATTTGGAAAGGTAGGCAGTGACGATGACCTAGCTGGGTGTGATTTAAATCGTGTTAACTAAGCAGTATTTCATGTGAGCTGTCACTTAAATGAACTTGTAAAATGAAGACACTATTTTTTGAAGGCACTCTTGTTAGAAAAACATACAATCTAATGCAAACTATGAAGTTAAGGGTAATGATGCAAAGTAAATGTTTTAAATTTTAAAACCTCTCCAGGAAGGAAATCTGACTTCCTTTGAAGTGGAGAAACCACCTTGTGTTAATAAGATATGTACTTGAAGCATGACTAAATTTTATAAGAGAACAGGAAAGCAGTATTCCAGATAGGTGGAATTTAGATTATTGGAAGACAAGATGCTAAAATAGACGTCTTAGCAGCTGCCAAGTGTAGAACAACCCCACCCTCACTTCCTTTTCACTTCTGCATCCTTCCTGCCTCTCTCTGTCAGCACCTGGAGCCATCTGTTTTGGCATGGGTGATGAAACCTGCCTTGTCAGTAGAGCTATTTCAAGGCCCCCTTTCGCTTTTCCAATTGGAAATTGGAATGGGTTAATTGGGTTAATTGTTATGCCTTACTCCTAGGGTATAAATGAAACACTGCTAAGTGTGTAGGATAGGACTTGATGTCTAAAAGGTGTAGGTGGGAGAGTGGTTCATCAGCAAAAAAGCTTTGTAAATGTTCCCTAACTTTTAGACCCCAAAAGCCTACTCATTATTCCTTTTGTTCTTGAGTTAGCGTAACAAGCTGTCCCCAGGCACCTTTCCAAGTAAAGGTAAAAGTTGTTTCTTCAAAGTTTGAAGTGTAGAGGGTACCATGTAAGCATAATTGCATCTGTATTGTAAGTGAGTTAAGGTTGGTACCTGCCCTCTCCAGACATCGGAGTGTCTCTGTCTATGTCCACATTATCTCCCGATGACTTTCAAGGTATGGAACCAAGTCAGCTTGGGTTCTCTGCGGATGTTGTGTTGGCAAGTGCTGCAGTGGCAGCATTTTCCGTGATAGTTAGTGACCCCGTCCTGTAGCCTCTTAAATTGCCAGGACTCGTTCACGCACGAGATGATGATCCTGCTCGCCCCAAGTTGCTGGGCTTGAAGTTGTGTCTCCTACTAATCCCTGTGAGTTTTACAGTCCTAGCTGATTTCCTGTTCACTATGATTTACAGATAGACACTGTCCTAGGCACCTGAAGGAAACAAAGGGTCTGGCAGAGCAAGCTGGGTGGGTTTCTGTAGTGATTAAGAGCCCAGATCCTCCACATCCTACTTGGAAGATGTTTGCTACATCATTTCATCTCTGCTGCAGTTTCCTCTTTTGCAAAATGAGGACAATTGTTTTCGAGTACAAAACAAACCAATATGTTAAAATGTCAATGTAGTTGTTAGCATATTCAGAGTAATACTGTTCTGAAATGAAAGCTCATGACTAGAACAAACGCATTGATAAATATAAGAAAAATTGCTACTTATCAAGTCACTGAAGACACAAAATACTGGCTTAATTAAGAGTTGGAGCCAGTTGATCTTTCAGCTGTACTGGTTATGGCATTCTATTCCCACCGGGTATACAGCTACCCAGACTCATGAAATCTGCGTGATGTAGTGATTCGTTTGGTGTCAGTCTTACATACAGTACAGATGTATGTACATGGCTGTATATATGTAGTGTTTCTGCATTGTAAATCCTAGGCCAGAGAATGCATGGATTTAATCTCAAACAAATCAGTACTTTCAAGGAAACTTTATTGCTACTTGAAATGTTTTTTCGATTTTCTCTGCAGTGATATGGACAAACAAAAATCCACCCTCGTAGATGCCCTTTGTAGAAAGGGCTGTGCGCTGGCCGACCACCTTCTTCACACCCAGGCCCACGATGGGGCCGTTTCAAGTGACGGAGAAGGACGAGAGGAGGAAGGGGACAGTACGTTGGATTCTCTGTCCGAAACATTTTGGGAAACTACAAAATGGACTGATCTCTTTGATAATAAGGTATATTCTGCTTGCTGTAGCCTAGCTCCTGCTGCTGGTAGCCCCCAGGCCCAGCCTGGTTGGAAAATATTAACCATTATTTGTCTATCAACTGTTATAAACAAATTATTAAAAATCTGCTTCAAATATGCAAGAATTAATGGTGCAACAGCTTATACAAAAGGAGCATGTGTATTATAGATTACTGAAAATTTAAGCATTAAATTTGAGTATAAAAATTTAAGCATGAAATTACAGTCATTAAAATTATGTTCAATATAATTTCATATTTTAACACTTATGGTCATTATGCTTATAATGATTATTTCTATTTCCATCCTGGTTTTCTCTACTCTGATTTCTTTTGTATTCAGGAAACAGTTTGAAATGGATTCTAGGACAGGTGATTTCTCAGGGTCCTAGCGCTCTTCTGAAAAATAAATTAGCTGTTCTGGGAAATTATCTAGATTTCTTGTAGACACTGATTATTCTTTTTAAATGGATTTTAAAATTTTCTTGATATAATGCATTTATTTTAATTTATTTTGAAACTGAACTTTTCTTAAAGCCTTAATTCTTTGTACTATTAAAGTTACATGCTTTAAAATGTAAATATTTCATACTTAAGCTTTATCTCACTTTCTGTTGCAGGTTTTGACATTTGCATACAAGCATGCATTAGTTAACAAGATGTATGGGAGAGGCCTTAAATTTGCTACTAAACTTGTGGAAGAAAAGCCAACAAAAGAAAACTGGAAAAATTGTATTCAAGTAAGTGATGCTTCAACTGTTAAAATGAATATGTCACATCCATATTGAATAGTGACAAGATTAGCATGAGGGAGGGCTACGGTAGTGTGATATAACAGTATCACCTGACCATTTTTAATTTTAATTCGTGTAATGTGAACTATACAATGTTTATAAAACCAATAACATACTAGTTAAATTATAAATATTTTTTGCTCGAACCCAAATAATCTATATTGTTCTCAAATGTGTTTTCAACAAGGATAAAATGTGTTAATTTTGTATGACTGAAAAACAGAATTTTATTTGTGAAGGAAAAAAGGTAAGCCAGGTTGGGCAGAAATAAGAAAAGTCAGCGGCATAAAGTTGTTCAAGATAATAATCAGAAGGATCAGTTGATTGATCAGAAAGTTAGTTGGTGGTGAAATGGATTGTTGGTAGGAATTTTGGTGACTGGTAAAAGGAGAGTCCTGCATGTTGCTGCTTCAGTAGTAGTAAATACTCAGAACTTCCCTTGAATAGTGAGCTTCATAATTCTGGCATTTCATAATATTTTTCTTATTTTATTGTAGTTGATGAAGTTACTTGGATGGACCCATTGTGCATCTTTTACTGAAAACTGGCTTCCCATCATGTATCCTCCTGATTATTGTGTGTTCTAATATAGAAGCGCAAACTTTAAATTAAAAAAGGAAAGTTTTATAGTGAATGGATATAAGAAAAAATTTGTGGCGTTTTTAGTCTAATGCATGTTTTCATCCACCACCAAATGCTGATTATTAAAATGGTGTGTATTTATCAGAGACTTCACTGACTTGTGGCTTAGTACATGTAAATCTAGACCTCTTCCATCATGCTGTTTTCTTAATGCTTCACATTGCTGGCAGGGCGGTGTGTCCTGCCTGCCAGGGGCTCGCATTTTGAGTTGGGTTGCAGCTTATTACATGCATGAGAGATTTTAAACATTAACTTTTAACTGCAAACCTGTAAAATTCTATTTTTTATTTTATAAACAAACAGGGTTTTAACATGCTCAACTCTAATTTTTTTCAAATGTATGAAGGCCTTAAAAAAGCTACATTAAGCGTAGCTAAAATTATTTATTGGACTACAAATTAACAACCTCACTTCCAGATTTTTTTCTTTTGCAAATGTTTACATTCAATTAAGAAGAAAAAATAAAATCAGCATAAGTGTGTGGCAATTGCGTGAGTTTAACTGCTTCCATAAATTTTCATCTTCAGAATTACAGGCAAGTTGTGCTCTATAACCTCTTGAAGTGCAAGGCATCAGATTGAACAGGTAATACATGTGTAAGTGCCAGATAGCAATCTTATTGAGCAATGTAAAAATATACATATGGTATGTTTATTAAAGTCAAAATAATGTAAAACACAAGAAATAATGTGCAGAACCAAGGTCATAGTACACCTTATGCACTCTGATACTTTCATTTTTTTTATAAATAATAAAAGTGAATATTGAAGCTTCGTAAAGTTGGTCTTAATTTTTCATAATCAAGTTTTTTTGCTATATCAAAACTACTATATTAAATTCATAGACCAAAAAATAAACATATGGTAATTTGCTTTATAATGTTTCTTATAGTCCTGCAGTTACATGAACTTATTTCCAGTTCTTATGGTGTGATTTTTGTCTTATTATTTTTAATTTTCTGGCTGCCATGCCTGCTTTTCTCATCCTAACACCATGAAATAAACAGACTTAGTAGATAATATTAAAAAGTCTATAGTCACTTATAGCAAATGGAGGGTGAGGGGCGGTAGGTTTTTAATCTTGTCGCCTTAAAATTTATCACTGCACAAGAAGTATCAGTACTTCAGTACTCTGTAGTCACCTATGACTATTTTTGTTCTGCATGGTGAAAACATTAGAGCCTTTATTAGAAGGCCCATCTATGAGAAAAAGCATGTAAAATTTTCTACAGTTTGGAACATCCAGACTGAAGTCCATCCATATAGAGCCACGTGCATGTGCTTTCTCATATATACAAGAACTTTATACACACACACACACACACACACAGAGATCCCGATATGTTCAGGGTCATTCTGCTCATTGGCTGATTATGAATAACAAATTGATGGATTTTGTTCTTTCCTGTTAGTAAACTAGGCTGCTAGGGCAAAACTGGGCTGCTGTCTGTCCCTGAAACCTAGCCAAGTCCTGTGACAAAGCTCCCAGCAGGTGGCTTCCCACCCCTTCGTGTTCCTTGCTTCCTTCCTAGGAAACTGCACCTCCCACCTTCTCTTCTCCCCGCTGCAGTCCATTGATCTACACAGAGCCTGGCTACCTGGAAACCTTAACCAAGATCTCTGATGATCTTGGTTCAGGCCTTGGGAAACCAAACCACTTGACTTCCATTTAAAATCCCCATGGCAGTGGAAGAGTCAGTGTTTTTGTTTCAACTCAAAAAGGACTGAACTTGAAATAGCCAAGTGTTTGGGTCACTACACTTCCCAGGGAGCCAGCGTGCAGACTTGTGTCTTGAGCACCTCCCCTAGAGGGCCAGATTGGAAAGCCAGGAGGGCTGACACAAATTTCTGGAAGTAGAAAACAAACAAAGATGTGCCTCCTGCTCTGTGCAGAGGCTCGGGTGTCTCCCTTCACCCAGACGTCCTGCCAGCCTGGGAGAGCCTGGGCATGGGCAGCCTGTCTGCCTGCTTTGCCCTGCACCAGCTCTGCAGACCGTGCTGCTGGTTTCATTGAGAGCCCCTGCTTCTGAGAGGGTGTTCCACACAACAAGCACGTGAAGGATTTTTCGTGTCCTGTCCTCCAGAGTCACACAGCCACACTTCCAGTTCAGTGCTGGTTGTCTTGGTTTCCACTATGCAGGTGGAACTGACTGCGTTCCCAGCCATGTGAACCAGTTCAGTGCAGAAGCTGACTGTGCCACTGCTCTTACACAGCAAGAACAGGACACAAAGCAATTAGAAGTGCCTTCTGCAATTCCCCTCCCTTTCATTAGTGTGTGAGCACGTGCCTCACTAACTGCACGAGCTGTCTCAAAGGGGCTTCCAGCAATTCAGTGTCACAAGTGCTGCTTGATCAACAGTGAGGTTGGCCTAGTGGATCCAAACCCAAGCTGTTAACGTGTACAATTAACAGGAAGAACCACAGGATGGGGAAACAAACCACATGTTGGCAATGCAGTTCAAATGCTGCAGTGAGCAAGCAAGGTCGAGAGGAACTGACAGCACAGGAACCTTGCGGTCTTCAGGCTTATACACCTTTTTTGCATTCTCACTTCAGCAAGACATGGAGAAATTCAGCAGTGGCTATTTTAGTAAGATAAACAGTACAAAATTGTATTTTGGTGTGATAATGTTGCAGTTACCTATGTGGGTAGGACTTAGAGGAAAAAGTTTTGTGATTTGCTCATCACTAGAGGAACCAAGAAGTTAGGTGGAAGTTTAGATGAAACAAGGTTTTCTATGATTTCAAAATGTATATGCAGAAGAGAATTCCCAGTACTGCTGTACTTACTTAGCAGTATTTAGCAATAGCAACTGTCATCGCCATATAATAAACTGCACATATTTGAAGTTAACATCTTGTTTACTTTTCACACTCAGGCTTTTCTGTACTAAAAAGGTTAAAGATTGTCACTCCCATCTAGCTTTTCTAAAAGAATAGACTTCTGTTTTTAAAGTATGTGGTCATACCCTGGGAAAGTGAAAGGTAACATTTGATTGTCTTAAGATCTGAGGGGTGGGGTCCCGTTGCTAGAATTAGTTTACACACCTTGTAATTTGATCATTGTAGCTGTACAGGCCCGCAAGTGCTGTGCAGCCAGCATAGTACAGTTTAGAGCATTTCACACCCAATAGAGTGAGTCCATGAGTCCATGTCAGTCTCCATTCCCTCACCTAAACCTAAATTGCCCTCTAACCACTGCTGTAGTTTGAACCTCTTGAAATTTCATGCGATGATAATCAGGCAACACATGTTTCACCCATGTTGATCGGTACCTCGGTCCATTCCTTTTGATAACTTAGTAATAACTTAGCACTCCGTTGTCTGATGTATCACTTTTGGTTTGTGCAAACACTAGTTAATGGATACCTAGATAGTTTCAACTTGAATCTGATGATGAGTAGTATTGCTGCCATGAACAGTCATTCGGAAGTCTTCTGTGAGGGTGTATCTCGATTTTTCTTGGCTAAATATCTGGAAACATATTGCGTCATATGATATTTCCTTTTGACACTAAAAAATGCACGGGCCACAGTGAGTTTTTTAAAGTGGCTGTATCATTTTCCATCCTTGCTAGCAGTAAGAGAATTTTTCATAATTTTACATATGCTCAAGCAGAGAGGATATTGTCTCCTTTCCAACGTGGGCCAATTTTTTGGTGTGTAATCTTGCTGTGATTTCACTTTCGAGTCCTGGCTGCTCCACTTACAATCTAGCTCCTTACTATTGTGCCTGAGAGAGTAGTGGATGATGGCCAAAATACCAGGGAAACCTGGGTAAGTCTTTTGGCACCTAACTTCGGCTGGCCCAGTCCTTCTCTTTCTTTGCCTTTTTCACCCTCTGTAACTCTGCCTTTCAAATAAAAGTTGTTTTTTTTTAAAAAAAAATTTTGATATTTTCTAATTGTCATGATTGCTTTGAAGTTTCTATAACTTGTATCAACAAAAACTACATTCTTTCCTAGTTTTCTAAGAATTTTAGTCAGAAATGAAAGTTAAAGAAACAATTCAGAAATCTAACATGAAACTGTTAGTAATAATTGACACGGGGAAAGTATTTGTAAAATAAAATTCAAGAAGTTCCTAAAACATCTGTGTCTTGATTTGCTCCTCTTTTTATCAGGTTTAAATCTTTGTCACTGTTTGCTATTACTCAGTATCTCCTCCCTTTTTCGTAGTAATTTTGTATAAGATTCTTTTTTTGTACGTTATTATTATCATTTTATGATACAGTTCCATAGGCTCCTGGTATTTCCCTTAGCCCAGCCCCAATACAGCCCAAATACAGTGCCTTCTCTCTCCATCTGGTAAAAAAATAAATCTAGCAACTCAAAAGAGACCTTCACCTTTTGAAAGGCATTTTGTTTTGATTTAGTCCCATTTGAGAATCCCCTTAAAAATTTTGACGGATGACTCTGGATATTCAGCCAGGAGAGTTGTCTCAAAGACTTGCTTGAATTTGTCTAGGAATTCATAATCGGTGCTGAACCTGAACTTGTTTGCCCACAGCAGCACTGTCCCCGGCTGGGCAAGGTATACCATGGTGGCAAGCAGCTTATCCAGGAAGTAGTGGTGGTAGACCACGTCGGAAGCCAGCACGTAGTCATAGTAAAATGCACACTTGGGGAAGTTGTGCTCCAAGTCTTCCCCCCACACCAGTTCTTTCACTTCAGGCAGATGCGCTGTACGTTTTAGTGTGTTTTTTAAGAGGTTATATTGCAGGTTGCCTAGGACATCAGGCAAATCCGTTGCTGTGACTTGAGCTCCTAAGAGAAAAAGAAATTACAGTAGTCGGTGGAAACATACTGGAGAGCCAGGATTGACCCCATAGGCAGGCAAGCTTTATGCATCTAACATACTTCTAGCTTAGGGGTGGAGGTAGACCTGGGGCATCATAAGGTGGTGCACCTCCTTGTCCATGAAACAAGTATCAGTAGCTCCCTGTCCTCCCTCACCCCAGTCGTTATTAACAGGATCTTTCACTCCTTCACAGGGAAGCTGGGTGCACTGGAGGAGTCTCTTAACCTAAGATTATCTTGTCACTAGATAATCAGACCAAGTGCCGCTGTGTGACATTTTGAGAAGATTGAGAGTGATAGTGTGCTGCATGAGCAAGCTCTTAAGCCTTAGCTGGACATGTAGCACACTCAGTAAAGGTCTCAGGAAACGAGATCAGAAGCAACAAACCTAAAATACTGGCCACGATGGAAACAAGGCCCGGTCCAGCGCCAATCTCTAGGATGTTAGCGTCTTGGAGATTGAGTTCCTCTGCGTGTTCCTCCAAGTACTGACACAAAGCCGTGGCCTAAAAGATATTCACCACTCTAATTGAATTGCTGCTACTGTATGATAAGCAGTAAAAAAAAAATTTGTCAGAGGGCTCAATATCTCAGTGTCATATCACCCCTGGAATATGCAAGGTATTAATAAATTGCACCTAAGACCCTAGAGAAGCAGTTGTCTATATCAAATTTAATCTCCAAAGAATAGGAAAATTAGACCAGCTTGACTCTTCCAAAAGAGGGAAAGGTATGAAATCCAGCAATTCCTTAACACTGGTTTAGTCAAGCTGGTCTCTGCTCTTAACACATTGAATGTTCAACAAAAACCTCTCTCCCAACTCTTACAAAGCTCAAGTTGGTTTAGGACTTTGCCATATTAGACAAATGAGCAGTTTTTTTTTTTTTTAGTTTATTTATTAATGGAATATCAGATTTGCAGAGAGAAAAAGAAAGATCTTCCATATGCTGATTAATTCCCCAGATGGTCACAACT